TTGGAAGCATATAGGCTGCAATTGGGCCAGAATTGCTGTTATATGTTCAGACCTTGTAGGTGAAAACCAACCCCTTGAATTGAGCTTGGAAGCATATAGGCTGCAATTAGGCCAGAATTGCTGTTATATGTTCAGACCTTCTGTTCCAGCTATTAATCTGCCCACTGCATTTTGCATAAGCTGCAGCTTCTGGACAGTCTTCAAGGGCAGCCCCACATGAAAGGCATTGCAGTAATCTAGTTTAGAGACAACCAAAGGTACATGACGGAAACTAGATTATCCCTGTCCAGAGAGGGACAAAGCTGAGTCATCTGCTGAAGCTGGTGGAAGGCACTCTACCTCAAGCGCCAAAGAGGGACCAAGGAGAGCCTCAAGCTACAAACCTGCTCTTTCAAGGGGAGTGTGGCCCCACCCGGAACAGGTTGCACACCCCCCATATCGTCAGGGGACCCACCACTGACAGCATCTCAGCCCTGTCTGGATGGAGCTTCAGTCTTAGTCCTCATTCGATCCATCAGCACAGCCGGGCACCGATTCAGCACATCCGCAGCCTCACCTGCTGCTGAACTCGGAGAGGAGAAGAGCTCCACGTCCGCAGTGTGCCACCGTCAGCGCCCCCACTCCCTCCGTGTGACCCCCCTCAGCGCTTTCATGGCGATGCTGAATAGCGTGGGGGATGAGGCCGGCACCCGGGGAACCCCACGCCGCAGAATCCATGGGGCTGAGCAGTATTCCCCATGCAGCATCCCGTCCGCATTGCTGAACACAGAGGGGGAGGCACCACAGCCAGATCACCAGCTCCCCCCATGCAAAAACGCCACGCCTCCTGTGCAGGGAGCTCTGCATGAGCGCCCCCACCCCCATTTCAACTTGGTCTGAGCTGAGAGGGTTGGATCTTTGGAGACTTGTGGAAACGGCTTTCCCAGCCTAGCTTGGGACGGTGTGGGGGTTCTGCTTCTGTACTTCTGGGCCATCTCGGTCGGCCACTTTTGAGCTAGCCACATTTCCAGCCTATACTCCTGTGGCAGGCAGTGGGTTCTCAGCCTATACCACAGAGGTGCCTATACCACATGAACCAACCGGGACTTTGGCCACCTTCCTCTTAGTCCTGTCTTGATGATCCAGTGGCTCTTTTCCACCACATCTATAGCATTTCCTCCCTGCCTGGAAAACACTCGGATGAGCTTTGGCTTTTCAGTCTGTTAGAGACAGATTCTTTTTAACGGGATGCCTGTTTAAAATTGCAGCCTTTTAAAAACTGCTTTTAAAATAGTGCTCATACAGTTTTAGGAATTTTGTAAGCTACCTAGTGTGTGTTTCCAGCTGCAAAACATGAATGCCAACAGCGCAGCTGCTTCCTATGTTCAGACTCAACATGTGGCCCCTTTTCCAGCCTGACAGAAGTTGCTTCTGGGGGGCTTTTCCCAGGAGCGCAGCTCAAGGTGCTTCGCAACGGGGACCCCGTCTGCACACAACCCATACGCTGCAGCAGCCACAGCCTCAGGGCCACGACCAGGGGCAGGCAGGTTAAGCCAGACCCTTAGGACAACCTGGCTGCAACGGGCCAGCGGCTCTTCCCTTCCAGCTGCTGCAGAAGCAGGAGCTTTGCCGCTTCACCAAATCTTCTCCAGCTCTTGCCTGAGCTAAGAACAGAACCGTGATTCATACACTGTTCTCTGCAGCATAGCAGCGAATTAACACCCCCCAAGTATTCGGCTCACCTCATTAGCCCTAATCGGACGGTTCCATGTGACAGCCAGTGAACAACAGCATAGGAGCAATTGTCTAATTAGCCTTGGCTTGCACAAGACTAACAAGGCTGGCAGATTGGGAGGAACCAAAAAGCACTGCCGTGTGCTGGGGTGGGGGTATGCCTGCACCCCCTGCTCCCCAGGCAGGGCGATGGCTTCCAGCGTCGAGGCTGCTAAAAAAGCGGTGACGAAGAGTGGAGATCTCAGGCCCCGAGCCAAGCCGGCCCTCCTGAAATGCAGCTCTGCCCCCCAACCCCAAGTTTTCCAGCCGGCTGCCCCCCTGCCGGCAGCCAGACCTTCTCTTGACTGCTCAGCATCTGGGGGCTTCCCACGCTTTCTGCCCGTTCTAAAAAGCCCCAATGCCGTCCTGTTTCTGGCAGCAAGGAACTAAGAAATGCTGGCATGTTGAAAGGGGGGGGGGACTCTGCAGATTCTGGCTTTGCCCCCACCCACCGCTGGATGACCCCCTGCAAGGGTTTCTCCAAACCCAGCCACAGCTCTCCGGCTGAGTGGGCCGCATCTTCTCTGCAACAGACACAGTTCGTGGACAATAGACGGAGCGAAGCGCATTCACCAGGTCATGCCCTGCAGAGGCCCATGATGGGCAGCCGGCTAGCCCTCGGGCAGCCTTCCCCAGCCAGGCGCTCTCTGGATGCGTCGCGCTGTGCGCGCTGCAGGCCACCCTGGTGGAGGGTGCCTTGGGCGAACTCCCACAGCCTGGGGTCTCCATCACCGCCTGCCCGCCTGCTGGCCGGCTTCTCCCGGACGCTTTGGTTGCCTCCGTTGGAGGGCCCAGGAAGGCTGCTCGTCTGTCAGTCGTGAGCTGCCAAGGAAGGAGAGCTGCAAGCCCAGTGCCAGCTGGACGCTTCCCGGAGGCCCCGAGGCCCCCAGCACTCGTGGTCCTGTATCTTTCGAGAAGGACTGGCGCACGCAGCCGTTCCTCCGGCACACACGCGATTTTGGATTTGCGGAGTGCGTGATCGTGCCATTCCCTGCTGCGGAGGGGAAAGCAGGGGGACAAGCACGGGGTGGCCATAGCCTGCGGCAGCCTGGTGCCCCACGTGTCCGGGCACCTCTGGCAAGGGCTCAGGCATGCCCGTTCCCCTGGCGACGCTGCCGTCACAGCCTCCGGCAGGACGCACTTTAACCTTTCCGCTCTTTCCACTGGGCTGAGAAAGCTGGCTGGGCAGCCAGGCCTTGTCCCCTCCAAAGGGAAACTCAATCCTTCGGCTAATTTGGGCCACTCAGCAGGGCAGCTGATTTCAAGATCCGAAAGGAGATGCGTGGCCCTTACCTGAATCCCGGCCGCTGCCCCATCCGTAACCTGAGCCCGGCGAGCCCGCGGAGGGCAACTCTGTGAGGTAGTCAGCAGCTTCTCAGCTACTTCCCTGCGTGCAGAGGACTTCCCCGGCGGGGGAAAAGCTCCGCGAGCGTGTTTTGACAACTCCTGAAGAGGGTGGGAGAACAAGTCTATAACACTCGTCCTGATAGACGACACTCAGCCGCACACTCTTGAAGCACTAAAAAAAGCAGCGCTATTTACAGCCGGCACAATCGGAAGGATTGCGGCACTCTCCTCCCCGCTGCTGTCCCCAGTACAAACTGGGATTCGGTCAAGTGGTCGCGTTGGTGTAACTGGTCTTGGCATGAGTAAGAGTGGCTGGGAAGCACCGGCTCCGTCTTGCTGTTGCCACTATCCGGGGCAGAAAACTGCCTTGGTGAGGCTTTGAAAGGTAACCATGAACCTTGCGCTCCAGGAGGGTCCAGCGCTACGCCATCGTCGGGGTAGCCAAGCCGGTGATCTTGCTGCCTGGGCTACGTCCGAGCAGGATGGTGTGAATCTGTGAGCTGCACCAGCAGGTGGTTGGATTCGACGGCCTTCGTGGCCCCTTCCAGCTCCACTGTTCTAGGATTCGATGGCATCGGAGCCGGTCGAGGTTTCTGCCAGGCCCAGGCCAAAGCAGCGGCGGGTCACTGACCCGCAGCCCCGAGCTGCTGTGCAGAAGTTTCCACAGGCTTTAGAATCGGATTTTAGGAATGGAGCAGGGCCAGGATGAGCCACGCCACTGCGTGGGTGTGCTGAGCGAATGTCCCACTCGGTGCAGGGTCCAAATGCTTCAGCCCTAGAAATGGGCCGGTACTGGAGGAAGGGCGACTAGCCTGTGTGGCTAGGAAAGAGGACGTGATGCGCCCAAGTCCTGCTTGTGGGCTCTGGATTGGCCACGAGGGAAACGAAATGCCGGCCTGACCCAAGACGGCTCCCCTCATGCCTGCTTCTCCTGGCCGTGCACTGGCGCCTGGTGTCCCAGCAGCCTTTGCTGCGTGCCAAAGCAGGAGTGGCCAGGCTGGTCAAACCTGCACCCTGCCGCTCGACTTACACGTGGGGCCAGCCGGACAGTCTGAACCAGCTTAAGTTAGATATGTAAACTGGGGGCAAAGGAGGGCCAGCTCAGCCTGAGCTTGCAAAAAGGCAACTTGGTGCATTTTTATCTGGGGGACTCCCAGCCCTGCCCACAGGACGCCCCAGCTGGGACCTGCCACGCCAGCAGGGACCTGAATTGGTAACCCACATGCCACAGCAACGGGGTTCCCAAGGGATGCGGGGCCAGAAGGGGGCCCGCCACGAGCCAAACTGCCGGAGTCACCCGCTGGCCAGCGAGTGGGGCAGGGCGGGCACGGGAGGCCTGGTGCGCCACAGCTCTTCATCCGAGGGAGGGACCCTGCCCTGTGGAAGACCCCCGTCCCACAGACCCAGGCGGAGCCCAGACAGTGGGCAAAGGGAACAGCAAGGGGCGGCGTGGCCTGGGTGACTTTGCGGCCTGTTGCCTGAGAAGGGGAATCCCGTGGGCCCCGGCGTGACATTCGCAGGCGGCTTGGCTGAGCCCCTCTGTGCAGCGCGGGGCAGCTCCCGGGCCCTTCTCTGTCATGCAGCCGAGCTCAGCTCCCAAGGGTTGCCCTCCGCCCTCCAAGCCACAAGAGACACACGCCAGCCCGATTCTTTCTGTTTATGTAGTACATGTTTATTCAGAATGCGGTCCCTGCGCAAAACCCGCCACAAAGAGCCATCCAGGCCCAGGGAAGGAGGCTGCACAAAGACCCAGAGCAGCTCTCGTCAGTCCAAGCTCAGGGGTGCTATTCACAGGGCGGGGGCTGTCTGAAGTGTCTGGGGGGTTGTGTTTCATACTGGGAATAAACAGCAGCATGACGACTCCTCCCAAGGGGCCAAGACAAACCTTCGAAGTGGCAATATTTGATTTTTCTCAAGTATACAATAGTTTATTGGTGTACATACAAACAGGCCCACCTGAAAAAGACAAAGCTGCTAAAAATTACAAGTGGGCTCTGAAAGTGAGAAAAAGTTGGAACTAAGTCCAGTCCTTTGCCTTGCAAAATTAAACTACAACACACACCATTGAGCCGGAGTTTGAGAAAGTCAGTGTGGCCAGTGCGAGGAAGCGCCTCAGAGGCGGAGACGAGATCTCACTTTCCGTTGTGCCCGTGGACAGATCGCCTCTCCACGTGGTCTCACGTCAGCGCTGAAATCGGTCAGAGAAGTTGGGCGACTTGGGCACAGTCAGGGGCTTCTCGCTGGGCTTGACCTCCACGTTCTGGTACCTGCGGATGGGCTTGGCTTTGTGTACCTGAGACGACAAAGCAGGAAGGCGCCGATGGACTGGGGACAGAGGCCCATGTCTCCAGCAGAAAGCCCCCTTGCCCACCCCAAGGAGAAAGAGGGCGCTTTACAACAGAGTTTGATGGCAACCGTTCATGGCCAGGAGTCATCCCAGCATCCCCGCCCCTCCCGGCCCTGCTGCCAGAGGCTGTACGGCAGCCGCCCGCAGCCTGGGAACTGGGACTCCCATCTTTGCCCAGCAAATGTCGGGCTGTACCGGCACCAGAGACATTTGCCTTCCTGGGCGCTGTTCCAGATGCGTGGCTTCTCACGCTGGGATTCTGGGCACCCGGCCTCCCGCACCTCCACCCCGCTGGGCCTGCTCGGGGACTCACTCACCAGCTCGTCTCTGAGCCTGGCCAATTCCTCCCTCGCACGCTCCTCCTCCGCACGCCTCGCCGCCTCCTGGAGTCTCGCCTTCTCCCCTTCAAGCTCCGCCAGCCGGCTCTCGAACTCCTGCCTCTCTCGGGCACGCCGTTCCGTGGCCAGCTCAAAGTTTTCGGGAGCTGCGGAACCAGAAAGGCCCTCTAAGTGTAAAAATAAAGCGGGGGGGACACAACACCAGCCCAGTGAGGTCCAGCAAAGCGGTCAGGCAGAGCAGCCCAAGCAACATGCAAGGCAATCTGGCCATCTATATTGCAGCAACAGGGGTTCTGCTTGATGGCTGCGGGGTGTGACAGCGTCTCGCGTGCAGCTGGCGAGAGGGTATGTGAGGCTGGCAAGGGGGCGTCTTCACACTGCAAGGGCAGCCCCGCAGGACGAGGCTGAGCTCGTCTCTAGTGGCCAATACGCCCTGGAGTTGCAGAAACCGACACGTTCATGGAACGCCGCAAAGGGGCTAGAGGGCTTTTTTGGCGGGCACGATATTATGTGGGATTCTGCTCCCCACCGCAATACAGGTCTAAGTCTGACCCTAATCTGACCCCACCTTTGGACTGGAGGACACGACTGGAAAGGTGCTGGGCCCTCAGCCAAGCCCTTTGCTCACAAAGAGCAGGCCAAGGTGGGAGGATGTGAAGCAGCAGCCAAGACACCCACCACGCAGCCCCGTGCTCAGCCCAAAGCTGTGGGGTTGTGCTACTGCCCTGACAGCAGGTGGGGGGCAGCGGGGACAGGCTCTTCCACCCCTGCCCCAAGCCCAAGGCTGTGAGGGTGGGGCGTGCATCCCGTGCGAGGTGGCCTGGTCCCGGACCCAGGGCTGGCCCGGGAGCCCACCTGCGAGCGGCTTGGTATCCTTCCTCGGCACGAAGGGCTCTTGGTGCACCACGGTGCTGGGCTGTGCCTTGAAAAAGGCGGCTTCCTTCTGCCGCTTCATCTCTTCCTTGACCTGTGGAGGGAGGGTGGGAAGAATGAAGACAGCCGCCCCGGCAAACCCTGGGGCCCCGAGAGGGGCAGGCAGTGAAGCAAAAGCGAGGGGTGGGGGTGGGGGGTTAATATCCTTGATCTTGGAAGGGCTGGGCTCTGCCTCTCCTGAGCACCATGCATTATCTAAGGGCCAGTGCGCATGCAAACATTTCAGTACAAACGCACGTCCTGCCACAGGTCGGGGCATGTACATGGCCCCACGGGCACCTTCAGATCACCACTAACCCTGCCGGGGATGCAGCCAACCCCCTCTTCCAAGTGTTTTTCTAGATGGGCACCTCCTGGGTCAAGATTTGCACACTCTTCGGGTATGATATGAGGAGGAAGGTGCGTATTTTGGGCCTGGCAGTTCCGAGCTTCAGCTGACGCACGGCAAGGGATCCCTTAAGCCCCGCTTCTGCATCTGTGCCGAAGACACCGCAGCCTGGTTCACAGGGCTGTGTGCAGGGCTGCAAACCGATCGGCAAGGGCCTGTTTCAGACCTCACAGGCCGCTCTGAGCTTTGCTAGGCAGCTTCCTAGCGAATGGAGCACTTGAATGTCTTGAGAGGTTAGTGCTGTCCGCTTGGCCAAACGCCCCCACTCCGCCTTTTCCTTGGGGCAAAAAGCAGCAGCCCTTCGTGCGCTAGAGCGACAAAGCAAAACTGCCGGAGGCGGCGGGCGTGTCAGGACCCCGAGCCCAGCGAACAGGACCCGGCTTGCGCCACAGGGCCCCGTGCGCGGCGCACTCACCTGCTGCTGCCACATCTCGTGCCGCGCGGCCCCGCGCACGTCGATGGCCAGCTGGAAGGGCTCTGGTTTGGTGGGGCTCTTCACCTTCTTCTCCGGCAAGCTGACGTGGTCGAACTGAGGCAGGGGGAGTGCTTTGAACTTGGGCACCTGCCAAGCCAAACACAGGACGGGCTGAGCAAAGTGGCTGGAAGGAAGGCTGGGGGGGGGGCATTGGGCCACCCCTGAGGAAAGCAAACGGCCTTATTTTTCTGCAGAGGCGTTTCCATTTCACAAGGAACAGGTGGATGCCAATGGCAAGGGCCACCCCGTGCAAGCTTGGCGGTCCCAAAATTGTAATCGTGTGTTGCAGGGGGTTGTGTGTTCTGGCAAGTGTACAAGAGGACACATGCGCCTCAGTGTGAAACCGAGCTCACAAATGCCCCGAAGCCTTAGGGGAAGAGAACTGGATTCTAGAATAGATGAGCTGTTGTCACAAAATCACGCACAGCTCTTTGGGTTACCAAAATAAGTGTTTTAACTACTTATTTTTTCTTGAATTTCAGGGGAGTAGACGGTATGAATTTACAGTTTTTACAATTTTTTACAAGAAAATCTTCTATGCAATATTTAAATCACATTAAGTGCTTATTTCTATTCCCTTTCTATTCCCTTCTCTCAAATAATTCAGGTCGAATGCTTGTTGTGTCTTTGACCCAGCACGCCGCATGTGGGGCTTCTGTTTTGTTTACTAAAACCTCCCTGGAGAGGTGTGCCTGGTGCCGAGTTTATATTCTTCTTGGCACCAGGTTAAAACCTTTTTATTTAATTGCTATTTTAAACATTAATATTTTATCATTAGTTGCTTTTTTGTTTTTATATAATTTTATGGAATTTGTTAGTTTTAATTGTATGTTTGGGAGCCCCGAGATGCCGAGGCATGTGGTGACGGCATACAAAGGTTTTAAATAAATAAATAAATAAATTGTTAAAAGGCTTATATGAATACTTCTTAGGCTAGTAGAAATTTTCTTCTCTTTCCCCTATGTATTTATCTAATTTCATTTCTATAATGCCCCACGACCTGGAGGTTCTCTGGGTGGCTATGCCAACTTGCACACTTACGTGGAAGGAAGACTCCCCAGAAAACCCTCGGCACTGCCTGCATGTCACTTCCTTGCTTTGAACAAATTCGTGCATGCCTGAGATCAGGGTTAGGATGTCCTTCCAATGTCCAAAAAGTGGTTTTCTGGAGCAAGTCACACTGCTTGCGCATGGCCCGAATGTAGGTGTGAGCCCTGAGGAAAGACTCAAAGAATTCTTTGGGATAATGCGCCCTTTTGAAGGAGGCAGCCGAAGGAGAAATTCCAAGTCAGGATGGAGTGAGTACAGTCCACACAATTTACTAAATTGTGACGAAAAGTGGCCACTGGGTCACTGAACACGTGGGAAGAACAGGCCGAGCCCAGGCAGAGAACTCGGCGGCGCATTGGCGCTCGGTTGCCCTTGTGCATTTGCCACCCGCAGCCAACCGCTGGGCAGACCGTGGGAGCCTGTGGCCAAGCCCGCCCCCACCTGCGCACACGGGGCAGAAGGCAAAGGCGACAAACGGCCCTCCCTGTGACCCGAGCTGACGGAAGCATGTCAGCATGCAGGTGCAGGGCAGCGCGCCGTCCGGCCACGGCTCCTCCGGTCCAGCACTGCGCACAGCCCGGCTGTGGGGCGCGAGTGCAAGAGCGCCATCCGGCTCAGCTGCCCCTCAGCGGCTGCTGCGCAGGGCACCCCAAGGAGGCGGCAGGGAGGCGGAGGCGGCCTTCCCGGTGGCTGCCCCACTCTGCTCAGCCACAGATGGCGGCGCTCAGGGGAGAGCCAGTAACTGCCTCATCTCCTTCACGGTGAGCCGCACGAGGACGGCCTCCCAGCCAGAACGTGCCCGCAAGCACGGTGCCGTAGCTTGACACCCACCTCTTCTTTCTTCAGCTCTTCAATCTTCTTCTCCTTCAGCTGCATCCGCTCTTTGTCCCGGGAGTCGAAGGAAAAGGGGCACATCTCCACCTGCCTCGGCTCCGCAGCTTTCGGCTTGTAGGGCACTCCAAAGTGCGGCATCGGCTTGGCTTTAATCACGGGAGGTGCTTCCTCTTCCTATGGCGTCAGAAATGCATGAGAAGCGGGGTGGAGAATGGTGGCTTAGCCCACAGCCGTGCTCCTTGGCACCCTCCCCCCCGGGAGAGTGTGATGGAAGGGCCACGGACGTCAGTGGGAAAGCTCACTCCGCCGAGAGCAGGACCCCAAGGCTGGCTCAAGGAGGGGCTGCAGACGGGTCCCCGAAGCCCGTGCAGCCCAGCAGTGCGCCGGTGAGGCAGGTGCAGCGAAGCCCCTGGTCTGCCCTCGGAGGAGCAGAGAGGGCCACCTGGCCGTCAGCCTGTGCAGCACGCCTGCCCCGGCCGCCCCGGCCGAGGGAGCCCCCACCGCCCACCCGGGAGCAGGAGCCACCTTGTCCTTCTCCTCCTCGCGAGCCAGGGCGCCGACCCTGTTCTTCAGGGCGAAGGCGGGGGACTTGGGAACGGTGATGGGGAGCAGCTTCTTCTCCGGAACGCCCTGCGGGGAGAGAGCAGGCTGCAGTGAGGCCTCCTCGCTTGTTTGGGGGCGCCAGCACAGGAAGAGGTGCTTTTGTGGGAGCAGCTTGGACTTCCGAAAGGACTTGTCACAGCCCTCCTAACGCTTCCTCGGGCTGGCGCATGCCAGAGAACAAATGCTAGCGGAAGGACATGCTGTCCCTGGAAGTTTGCCTGCCCGCACGGACAGGGCTTATCTGGCACGGTGGCCAGGCGCCTGGGCGATGCACCTCAGCATCCTCATCTCTCCCCTGCCATACATTCAGGACGGAGAGCCACCCCCGTCCTTTGCACCAGCGGCTCGTGCAGAGGCACACTGCTCCGAAACGGGCCGTGGCAAACAGCCAGCAGGGCTAGCAGCTACTGAGAGCCGCCTCCTTCTCCTCCCCCTCCTCCGCAGAGCGATCTGGACTGGCGACCGTCGCTGCATCTCGTGGAAGAGAGTTCTATCGTTCAGGCACACGCTGGATAAAAGAAGCCCTTTCAGTATCTTGGCTCTCTCTCAGATCGGAGAGCCAAGGGATGTGCTCTTTAGGGGCTCCTGCTCTGTGAGAAGGAGGACGAGGCCTTCCTACCAGTTTCTCCACACTGTGCTTGCTCCGGGACGGCCCTCACCCTTCTTCTGCACTGACCCGTCCCGGTGGCGTGGCCGTTCCTCACGGGTCGGCTGCCCCAGTCCCTCCCCTCGCCCAGAGGCCCCTTTCCCAACCCGACGGCATCCCTTCCGGGTGCGGTGATCGGGGTCGCTGTCCCGCAGACTTGCAGGAGGGCAGAGAGCTACTGCCAGCTTCGCTCGCAGCCCTCTTCCTCATGGTGCCTCACGGGGCGCTCGCTCGCTTTTCTCACAGCACCCCGATTGTGCCAGTCGGCTGCCTGCCACGCGCCCAAGATCACTCGCTTGGGCCGGACTCGGTTGGCTGGGAGCCCAGCGCCGGATCCCTGAAGCCAGTAAATGCGCTTTGCTCCAACATGCGCCGCTTTGCACTTTGTGCATCGAATTGTGTGGGCCGTTTTGACGCCCTGGTTGGGGGCCTCCTCGAAATGCCGTGTTGCTTTAACCACCCAAGTTAGTTTGCTGCTGTCAGCAAGAACTGCCGCTCCACCGCTCTCCTCCAATTCCAGCCCAAACATACGCGGAAGGCGCCTTCGCTGGTCACCAGCGGAGCCTCCGACGAGGCGCGCCAGAAGCCGGGCTCCGGCAGGGGACCGCCATGGCGAAGTGGGACCTTTCAGCCCTGCCCTGACAGGGAAGCCCTGAGCAGGCGCATGAGCCCCAGCCAGAGAGCCGGTGTGCGGCCCTGGGCTGGCAGGGGCTGCGTGGGCGGCCTGGCCGCTTCCTATGCTCTGCGCTCCCTTTCGAGGGACCGCCGAGCTGCAGGCTCACCACCACGTCCTCCAGGATCTTGGTTGGGCACGGCCTCGAGTGGAACGTGAAGGACTCCTCCTGCGGCTTCTTGTTCTCGCGCTCCTGAATGCGCTTCTCTGTTTCCAGGTTGAAGCCGATGGGCTTCGTGGGCTCCTTCACCGGGGGCTTCTTGGGCAAGATGGGCCCGCCTTCCAAAATCCGGGGGTTGAGTCCTTGAGCTTTGAACTTGTACCTGTCAGACAAGGGGGCAGGATAGGGGATCCCCAGCGCAAAGGGGGCGCCAGCCCTTCCCAGGTGTTCCCGGCTGCCCTCCAGCAGAGACGCCGGAGGGCAGCAGGGCAGGCACCAGGCGTGGCCCTCGGGCAAAGCGCTGCACTCACTGCTGCAGCCGGGCGACCTCCTCCGCCTCCAGCTCGGCACTGCTCTTGCAGGTCACGGGCCTCAGGCGGTTCTTGGTCTCCAGGCAGGGAGTCCGCGGGTGGGTCAGCGGGGGCTTCACGGGCCTGCTCTGAGCCGGGCCTGCCGTTCCTGAACAAAGACAGCACGTGCTCGAGCGTTCTGAAATGTCTGAGGGGCGCACGCGGCTCGCTCTCATCATGGAAGGGGACCCTGATCGCTGCGGTCAGCGGAGAAACATGCAGGGTCGGATGGCAGCCCGGGGGTCTCCGGCCGGCACGAGGGCAGCCCTCTTTCCCCACTGGATCTTTCGGCCTGCTGCCCCAGCCCTCCTCCCTCGGGACAGCTCTAAATCGGCAGATGAGCGTGCCGTATTCCAGCCGGGCTTTGAGCGAGCCCTTTTCCTAAGGTAATTAAACCAAGGCCAGTGTTCCAGGTGGAGGCACTGGGAGAAGCTCTGCAAATAAACCCCAGCCGCCTGCCACGCTCTCGTTTCCCCCCCACCAGGGCACAGCTGAACGGTGCGCACGGGGAACTGAGTGGCGCCTTGGAGACTAATGAGCTGGTTCTGGCAAGAACTTCTGTGGATTGGAGCTCATTTCACCAGATGCGCCGAGTATCAGGAGCATGTCAGGTTGATAGGCGGTGTATAAGGTGGAGGGAGCCGGGAGAGAATGGTAAACAGTGAGGCGAGACGCTAAAGGCACACGTCCCATTATTGACAGCAGTCACTCCCTGGGCAGCTGTGCCCGGTAACACACACGCCCTGGCACTGGCAAGTGAATTAGCCTAGTGGAACGAAACCCGTGGACAGTTGCTCGCCCTCCTCTCCCTCTGAAGTGCTTGTGTTCCCTGCTGCATCAGGCCACGGATTCGCCACATCCAGCGCCCAGGTCAGTGTGCTTAGCCAGAGCTCCCAGGGAGGAGGGCAGCAGCAGCAGCACCTCCCACCAAGCCTCCCGGCGGCCGGCGTGGGGAGGCCCGCTGCCCGGTACCGGAGGGAGCCCAAGCCAGCAGCACAGCAGTGGCCAGCCCTCTCCTCCGCCCAGCCCCCTTTGAAGCACCCCCACGGGCGGCACTTTGGTGGCCGTTCCCCTGGCCGGAGAGATCACTTGGTGCTCCTCAGACGGCCCCTTTCGCTTTCATCCCCCGGAATAATTTGGCATCCCCAGTGAGCTTTAAGGTCAGCGACTGACTGACCTAACGGGCTTAAGCATTTAGGATTAACGCTTTTCAGACCAAAAGGCAGTTCGCTGGATCTGAGCGCACAGCCCCTGTGCTTCCCTGGGCATCGGGGGGCGGCGGGGGGGGGGGGGGCAGAGCTTGGCAAGCAGCAGCACCCAGAAAGGGAGCGGGTGAAGAGTCGCACCCCATGCCTGCGCTTCAGGGAAAGGGGCGGGGCTAGTGGTGCTTCCCTCCCGGCGACAGAGGGATTCCCCGTCCACCCGACCGACCGTGGCCTTACCTTCCTCCTCCTTCCGGTTTCGCAGGTGGTAGCGCGACGGAGTGCGTCTCTGGAAGTTTTGCACCTGCTGAGCCAAGGACACGTATTCGGTGGCAACGTCCTCAATTTTCCTTTTGTTGCCCTGGGATAACTTGAAGGGCTTTGGGATCGTGGGTCCCTTTGGTGCTCGGACCTGAAAGACGACACCGATGGCGACAGGGCTGTCAGTGCCGAGCCACAGTGGAAGCACGGGACGAAGACGAGCAGCCCTTCCCCCAAGCATCAAGGCGCCTGCTATGGGCAAGACGTGGCCCGCAGGTCTGTTCAGATCCGTCACGCCTCAGCATCCAAACCGTCTTCGAAAGGACTGCATTCACTCTATATTTTACAGGTCTTATATGTGAGGATTTGTGCATGCCGCCTTGAAATCTACTGACATCAGCAGCTTATGATTTCTTGTGCCCAGAGTGGAGGAAAAGACAGGAGCTTGTCTCAGGGGAATGCTGGAGTCCTCCCTTTGTTTTTTTTAAATGCACAGTGCAGGATGCTGCTCCCACTGTGTCCAACCTCGAGCTGCGGATGGTGCAGTAAGATCCTTCCCAGGCCAGAGTGCGAAAGGCTTGCACCACTCGACAAAGCTCCGCTGGACCGCACCGGGAGGATGCGATGGAGGCGGAGCAGATGATGCGCTTGGTCAGATTCGTCACTGGATTTCCTCCACCTACACCCGAGTCGTCTCCCAGCCTGCTTCATCACCCGCAACTCAGGCGCGTGCCATGGCACTATGCGGGCTCTGCATGACGGGAGAGGACGCTCAGGAGCAATCGTGTTGACTGCCCAGGTCATTTCCCCATTCCACAAATCAACCAGGGCATCGACAGGAGTGCCAGCCCTATCTGGAAAATCCCCCAGAGTCCTCAGGAATCCGTCCGAATTCACAAGACACCGGGAGCGGACCATTTAATAGGGTCCGCACCCCTGCAGAAGGAGAAACTGGCCCCCAGTTCAAACCTCAAGAGAAAGTGATCTGCCCATGACAGAGGGATTGGAGCCAAATCCCTCACTTCCAGATCACCACCTTCCTGCCCTGTCGAGAAAAGCAGGTCTGGAGTGTGGCCTCTTTCATGCGTTGGGCCAGTGACGTGTTGAGACAGCCCCATGGCTGTCATGGCGGCCATGAAGTCCTGAGCTGCCCCGGTCAGAACAGTCTCGGCATGGAGATTGAAGTCCCCCAAGACCAACATCCTGGGGGTCCTCAACACCAGGTCCGAGACGGTCTCCGTCAGCTCAGGCAGGGAGTCTGCAGGGCAGAAGTGTGCACGGTACACCAGCAGAGTCCCCAATCTGTCTCAATCACCCAGGGCCAGGTATGGACACTCCAGACTCAGCCTTGAAGGGGTCGAAAGCCCCGCAAGGCAAATTGAATCTTGGTAATCATCTTCTGAAAATGTGTTTATTTCAGGAAGTCTTACTTGGTTTCCAACCAAGGTGGATTGATAATCCATTTTTAATATTGTGGTTTATTAGTTCTGTCTGTCTTTCATTGCTCAGCATTCTAGAATCTGTGTCATTTTGGGGAAGTATATAATTTTTAATAATGCTGAATCCACACAAGCCCAAGCCCCAGTACACAGTCCAAAGGTACTAGACCTCATGAACTTTCAGAGGGTTTCCAACTTGCATGGATGTCCATCCATGGCTTCACCTCCCACCAGAACTGCCACAGCTGAAGGCCCCCGAACCGGTGCATTTGCTCTCCTGCTCTCACCGGAGATGGGGGGTGCTTCCTGAGGATCGCCGTGAAATCCACCTCCTTATAATCCGTGCAAGGCCGGGTGTCCCCTGCATGCAGTTTAATCCTGTCGTCTGTGCAGAAGTGGAAGTCCACCGGCTTGGTGATGTGGCTTACTGGTTTCACAGACGGCCCTCCTGCGGGAGAAACGGGAGCCCAAGATGTGACAGGGACCAGCAGCGACCCCAGCAACGCTCTGAGGGCAAGTCGCTGCATGTGGGGGGCTCAGGCTGAAGCAGCGATGTCTCATCAGTTAAGACACCCTAGAGGACAGAAGGACGGTCCAGGGCGGTCTTGATAAACTGGAACACTGGGCTGAAGGAGATTCCATAAAGGACAAGTGCCAAGTCCTCCACCTGGCAAAGAGAAACCAAAGGCATCGATACAAGAAGGGGAATATGTGGCTCGACAGAACCGAACAGAAAAAGATCTTGGAGTAACTGTGGACAATAGGCTAAACGTGAGCCAACAATGGGATGGAGCCACCAAAAGGGCAAATGCTATTTTGGGATGCGCTAACAGAAGTATTACTTCCAAATCACGAGAAGTAGTAGTTCCTCTATACTCCTCACTAGTCAGACCTCACCTGGAATGCTGTGTCCAGTTCTGGGCACCAAGGTTTAAGAAAGATGCAGGGAAATTAGAAAGGGTCCAGCGGAGGGCGACAAAAATGATCCAGGGTTTGGAAACACTGCCCTGTGAAGAGAGACTGAGGGAACCGGGCACGTTCAGCCTTGAGGAGAGGAGACTGAGGGGGGACATGGTGTCCCTCTAGAAGTCCCTCAAAAGCTGTCAGAAAGAGGAAGATCAAGATCTCTTCTTGCTGATGCCGGAGTGCAGGACACGGAATAATCAAGTCAAGCTGCGACAACCCAAATTCAGGCTGGGCATCAGGAAAAGCTTCCTCACTGTCAGAGCAATGCGACAGTGGAACCAGCTGCCTAGAGACATTCAAAAGAAACTGGACAGCCGTCTGAGTGGGGTGGTGTGACTTGCTGTCCTACAACAGCAGGGGGTGGACCTGATGGCCTTCAAGGCCCCTTCCAACTCTTCTCTTCTGGGATTCTAAGATGAAGGCGGCAGCAAGCACACCAAATTAGCCTTCTCCAGCCAGCTAGTCCAGGAACTTTGGAGGGCGCAAGGCCCAGCCAGCACGGAGTTGCCTGGTCGAGTGCCATCGAGGCAAACTGCTGTGACGGGATGGGTGACAGCACAGCCGAACCTGAGAAAGCGCTCCCAAGCACACGGCAGGCGGGAGACCCACAGGTGAGCAGTGCTGCTGCCCCACGCGTTCCACAAGTTGCCCGACGGGTCACACCGCTGCCCTGTGCAGCTTAAGGAACGTAGCCCTTCAGGTAAGAGAACTAAAATGAGGCCGAGCTTGCGTGCTGCCCGATGGAGGAAGGCTCCAGGAGGTCAGCCCTTCCATCTTCTCCCTCCCTCGCCTCTTTCGGGCTCTGCATTGCATCCGGACTGTTTGGCTGAAAGGGAGAGACCTGGGCACCCAATGCATGTGCAGGTCCTAGCACAGCGCAGGTGCTTCTATAAATAAGCCAGGATGAGGACATGCATTCGGGGTGGAGGAGGAGGGTCACCGGAGCTCTGTGGCACCAGCCCCATTTGCCGGAGGAATGCGGCTCACGGCACGAGAATCTGGAATCACCCAATAAAATAGGTGGCAGCAGGTGCCGAACAGGTATCACAGGCTGGTTTCTACTGGCATGCAGAGCATCAAAGCTCCCTTTTATTTCTCCAGGCTTTTGACTGTGGTCATGTCGAGCCCCCTCTGGTGTTTCAAAAGCCACCTGCAATGGGGGCGGTTTACCAGTGCCTTGCAATGCGCCCAAAGAGATTCAGCTAAGAGGAAGTGCAGGACGGCAGCGAGGTAAAATGAGTATCGTGCCGCTGGAGGTGTGTTGGCGTAGCTGTTGTGCTCGTTCCTGGTTTTATTACACGTATTTCGACAGCTGCCCTTGGGACCATGTGCATGGAAGGGAAATGTCTTGGTGCCAACATGCACACGCAAAGAGCGAGCGAGCACACAGGCATGATGAAAAAGATGTTAGAGTGACAGTGGCGACAGGAACCCTGGGAGCTGCTCTCCTGGCCCCACAGGAGTGACTTCCAAGCTCACCTGGCCCAGCGAGGGCGGCCTTTAGGGACTCCTCGTTCTTCCTGCGCATCTCCGCCACCTCTCGCTGCGACTGCTGCATCTTCTCCAGCTCCAGCTCCTCCGTGGACTTCCCCTTGGCAGGCAGGTTCTGCTTCCTGAGAAAGGAAGCGCAGCGGCACCTTGAGGAAGAAAGTGGGACCGAAGGCCAGGCCTCCCCCAGCCGCTTCACAGGCGGCTGCTGCCCAGAACCATGAAGACGCTGCTCGTTCGGCGTCACGTGGGGCGGAGGCTGTGGCTGCCACAGGCCAGCCAAGGTCCGGCTACCTACTCTGGTGCTGCAGGTGTGACGGGCGCCTTCGCTGGGGTGACATCCCAGTTCAAGGAAATTTCACTCAGCTTCTCTCGGCTGTTATTAGACCTGGAGGGAAGGAAGGAGGGAGGGAGGGAGGGAGGGAGGGAGAGCGTGAAAAGGCTCAAGGTCAGGCATGCTGGTTGCCACCGTGGGGCCCCCTGGGTGCGAGTTTCCCGGCTGTCACCACAGTGCAGAGGGGCCCAAACACCTGTGCTGAAAGGCAGTGCAAAAGGTGAGCCTCACCTCCACACACGAGCCGGCATGCCGGGCCGAGGTTTCCTGGGAAGCCTGGCGTTGCTGCAGGGAGGACAGTGCAGGACCGCTCAGTTCAGTGCTGGCCGCCCGCCCCCCTCCGTTTCCTGAGCGTGCAACTCTGGCATGGGCTCCCCCTCACCCCGAGGGCACCCTCTGCCCCTCTCCCGAAGGGGGAATTTGCCTGCCTTCTGCAGCCGACTTGGGGCCAAGCCGCTGGAATACGTCGACTCCAGGGTGGCCTTATTAGTTCTGCCAGTAAATGGGGTGGCAGGAGAAAGACACGGATGGAGATCGGATGCCTCTTTGAGTAGCAGCTAAGACAGGCAGGACTGGTGGCGGGGAACCCAACCCAGCAGCTTGGCCCGTTTTCTACTGATGCTGACCTGCCCTTGACACTGCCAGCTCCTTCCTTTAAAGGGGGCCAGGTGTTCTCTGCGAGGGTCACACAACTGCGCCGTGGAAGCCAGGGGCTCACATAATTTGTGGAGAATTCCACTTGTCAATTGGCTGAGTTTTTCTGCTGGTTACAGCAGGGGCGTGTTAGACGTTGGCGTTCCGCCTGCAGGCACAAGTGGCCTTATTCAGCTCTGCTTTCTGGTAATTCCACCATTCTGCGCACACGCGGAGCCTGGAGGCGTCCGGAGCTCAAATTAATGACCGAGGCTCCGCCGAAACTGCCTTCCGTGCCCAGTGAAACAGCCTGGCCTGGCGGAGAATCACAGCGCGCTGCCCGTCCTGGCATCCTCCTCGCAGAGCTCTAATTCTTTCATGAGACGGGTGCAGGGCAAGTTCCGGGGGATCTGGACTCCGCTCCACATGCCCGGCACCCCGCGCTTTGCGCCTGCAGAGGGCCTGACCTGGGCAGGGCACTCATGACCAGCCAGCCGGAGCACATGCTCCCCACACCATAGACCTACGTTTTCTGTTTCTTGGGCGGCGGGGGCTCTTGCTTGTCCGCTGCGGCGGCAGCACCTCTCTCCGCCTGGCTCTTGGCCACGAGCCTGCGCTGGGCACTCTTGCGCTGGGCCGACAGCCTTCTGGCCACCCTGCAGAAGAAGAGACCCCGAGATGACGTTCCGCCCGCAAGCCCCCGGATGGCGCGAAGGGGAAGAGAGGGGGCTCAGTGCGGCCCACGGGCCCCGCCTCCCATCGAGACGCCAAGCCCATTCTAACCAGCAGGTAAAGGCAGAAGGCAGCAGGTGGCCGCGCCTCACAGGTCTTGCCTGGGCTGCCGCCCACCCCTTTGAGACTGAAGCATCCCACAAAGGGGTCGCGGAGAAGGCCCCAGCGGCTGCTACGCACGGCGGCTCCACCCTTCCTCCAGGACCAGAGGCTCCGTGCTTTGCACCAGCATGTGCTGTGGGCTAGAGCAGGAGGCGGCTCCTGCTCCCGCCCTTCTTGTAGCCTCTCCACACCGGGCAGCTCGCTTGCCCCGGCCGAGGCAGCCTGCTGCACCTGAGGGGCCTTGGCTCTGACCCAGGGCAGCTCTTCTCATGTGCTTAAGACACAAGACATTCAAATATTTGGGGATGCCCAGCTGGAGAGGGAGACGAACTGGGAACAGCGATCCAGAAAAGTTTCATTACTCTGGATTTTTCAGGTTTGCAGCATATGGTTTTAATCTGTCTGGCTTTGAAATCCTGCACAAAAGAGACCAGTCCAAAAACTCTCATATGGGTGACAAAGACTCTTTTTGTAGTCAGGAGAAAGTACAGCTTTGCTTCACAAGGAGGCAATCCATGAGGCGGCTTCCTCTCTTCACCCACAAACCTGGGCTTCCTCAGCGTGAGTTTTGATGAGGTAATGGGAAAAAAATCTGCTTGATGTCCTCCTTTACCCTCCAGCACTGAATTAGATCCTGGAGAGACGCTCCCAGTGTTGCTCATTTGTGCTGAAGCAGTTCTCACAGGCAACCTGGGTTCAGAACTAGGGCATTCGCGCCATACGGAAGTTCTTATCATTTACTGTCGAGAATTTTGGCTTATGGGTAACAAGCAGGGTGCTGATTACACATAATTTCCTGCATTAATTCTCTGCCAGAATTGTCTGAAATTCTGGAGTAGTATTTTGTGCCAACAAGAGCACCACATTCGTAAAATGGCATGGCAAGCTTCTAGTCCTCACAAGTCCTACAAAAGCCCCGGTATCAGCTAAGTCAGAGAACAAGCCAATTCCAGTGGACTTAGGCAAGAAGGGCTGTGACTTGAGCTAATTTCGCTCCCATATGGCTCATTTTGCAATGGATCAGAACTACAAACCCGGAACAGAATGCCACAGACGGACGGTGGAGAAACAGAGCAGAGGGCGCAGGTGTCAAAGGTGGGCTGAAAGTCTCGGCGGGAAATTTCTGGGGAAAGCAGGGGGAGCGGCACTGGCGGGGGGACTCTGTTGCCAGGGCAGCTAGCGTCCAGATGCGAGCGTGCCAGCTACATCAGGGCCAACTCCTGTGGGAAGCTCAACGGAACACACAATCGGCACCTTACCTCCCCGGGTCCCTCGCGGGGGCTGCTGCCTCCGTGGAGGTGCTGTGCCACGCAGCCAAAGAGCCCACCACATTCGGCGGGGCTCCGTGTTCCACCTCCATGCCTTCACTGCAGTTTCCACCTGAAGATAAAGGTATCCCAGCCTGATGTCTCAAGATTTATAGCCCATCTTCTCTTCGTGGTCTCCCACCCAACCAGCAGCTCGTGTGGCAAACCAAAAGGCCCCAACGATTCGCCGCGGAGGAAAACAGCCCCCGCCCATGCTTTCTTCAGCAAGGAGGAGTTTTTGGGGGGCTGCTGTTCCCCTGATCGCGTTTGAGGCTTCCGGCCTGGTCGCGGGCACCCAGAGGGATGCTCAAGCCCAGCTGCCACTGTGTGGCTTTGACTTGCTTTAGTGGACTCAGGCTATTTCACTTGTACAGCAGTGAGCGGCAAGTCAGGGGGCCGCCAAGTTTGCAGAATATGCAGAACGGTGAAAGCCCAGGCAGAACGCTAAAGCGTTCCAAGGTGGGAACATGCATCGCAGAGCAGTCGATGAAGCGCACGGAAGTGTAGAAGAGGCGTGCAGGGGAATGGACCACCTCCCTCCCTCCCTCCCTCCCTTGCTTGCTATGAATCTGGCAGGAAGGAAAGGGACCAAACAGGCTTGGGGAAGAGCCACTCAGGTCTCGAGCTGGACCACAGGCTGGGCCGCTAGGGACACCACCAGGAAGGAGAGAGCTAAGGCCCAACTGGACAAGTTGGCCGGTCACCGCTGGACGAGGCTCGTCTGCACATCCTCTCTCTGCCAGCACAACTTCACAAAATGCCATTGTTCTGAGCTGCTGCAACTTACTGGACTTTATCATTGGCGAAACAATAGCGTGTGGGATGTTGGCCCTCGAGGCCGATGCCTTCTTGTGGAAGCCAGCTGCCATCTTTTCTTTTGGGGTACGCAGAGGGGAAGCTCGGATGTCTGCAAGAAGTGACAGCAGCATAAGCTGGATGCCCCCCCAACACTCTTTCTGGCACCTCCTCCATTTCCCAGAAATTTTAGTCTTTCGATTCCTATTTTAAACCTGTCACTGCTTTTTACATTTTTGTGCTACTGCTAGGTTTTCCCCCAGTGGTTATTTTCATTTCATACAATAATGTTTAACTTTTAGACCTTATTTCATTGTGCTGGATTTTATAACGTTAACTGCTGTGAACTACCCAAAGAGTGCTGTCTATTGGGCAGTGAAGAAACACTCCCATAGAATGTGACCAAGCAGAGGAATTCCCATCCCACGTGCTGTTCCTGCCTGTCTCTCTTGCACGTTCCTTCCCAGTCTGAACCTGCTGTGCTTCTCCTGGGGCATCTTAGTGGGGGCTGACCAGGCAGCCATGCCAGCCCTGGGTGGAACCAAAGCAGTGGCACCTGCCTGCGTGGCCAAAAAGCGCTTGTAAAGCCAGGCAGCGCCCCGAGCCAGTCAGGAAAGGCCCTGGCATCCCAAGTCCCCCCAGGCACGTCTTGCTAATGGAATGACAAGAGTCTGGATGTGAAGTGGGCGGGTGAGACAGCCGCTCTGCAAATCTGCCAACGATGTTAAAAAACAGGAGCATCCATGTCTTCCCGCCCCGAACGGCTTCTTGGGAGTCAGGACCACGTTGGAACAGGCAAGTGAGGCCGGGGAAACAGCTCCACTCCCCTTCCCACCCAGCCGCTCTCCGGTCAGCTTTGCGGCCTGGTTTAAAAGGCTCCCACTCACCGATCAGGATCTCCCACCGAGAGCCTTTCTTTAAAAGCACACTTCTATTTCAAGGTATTTGAAAGATTTATGTCTCACCCGGATACGTGACACTGAAGAAATCTTACATATTTAGCATTGCACAATATATCACTGAAACAGGGTACTGGACAGCCTGTCTCGGCTGTCTTACGGCTATCAATCCAGGCCTTGTGCACCTGCAAAGCAGCAGACCCTCGGCTGTTCCCAAGCCGGAGCTGCTGCGTCATGGGGGCTCCGGTGGCCTGAGCGGTGGCAGCAGCAAAGGCGGCCGGGCCCGCAGCACATGGCACAGACATTTCTGGCAGCAGCTCGTCTGCAGAGGCTTGGCCATCTTTTGACAGCGGTTGGAAGATTATGCTCGATGTTAGCAAAGACAGGCTGGGTGTGGTGCAAACAGCCCTCACCAAAGGAGGGATCAGCACGTGCATAACCCACCCCCTCCAAGAAGTGCCCCTGTCGCTATGACGCGCCACGCACCTCGGGCACTCAGAGACGGCGTGCTCCATGACATCACTCCCCGAACATCATACAGCAGGAGGGAAGGACTTACAGATGGGCCTCCCAAGCCTCTAAAGCCCCCGGTCAGCAGGGTGGCAACCCCACACCCACCAGGAACAGTGCCCACCTTTACCCGGCGAGCACACTCACCAAACCAAGCGTCAACGCCGACGGACGCATCGTCATCCATGTCATTGAAGTCGACACCAGTGTAGGGGACGTCATAGGAATACGCCTCCTGAGACATTTTGCCCCCTCCTCTGCCGAAGCAGGTCCCTTCCTGGCGCTTTTGGAGAAGAGTCCTGAGAAACGAGATTTTTACAGGATCCTTAGCATGGCACGTATCTTGCAGATGCCCGCTCATTCACCTCCCATAGTTCTGGCGAAGCCAGTCAATGATCTGTGGTTGAGACTGGACATTGTGCATCCGACGCCCATGCCAGGATGACCGCAGCGGGCGTACCGTTCAACCACAAACTCCAGGAAAGAGACGAGACCAGAACGGAAGCCTGAGCCCCGGAGTGTTCTCCAGCAAGGAACGGAGCGCCAGGAGCAGAAACGCCTCTCCCTGACGCACGGGCAATGCCAGCCTCGTGCAGGGCACCTTCCGCAAAACAGGCACTTCCCATGCATCAGGTTTGGTGTGCACCTGGAGCATTACTCGATGAAGGGAACCCTGTGAGCGCACTGGATTGGGGTGGAGCATTAATATCCCCAGTACGTGCGGTCAGGCTGCTGCCTCACAGCAGTGCGGCGGGATGGCCCAGGGCTCTCTTTTTCTCAAGGGAAATTGTCAGCTTTTCTGAAAATCTGGTTTTCCAGAAGATTTTCGCTAGCAAGCATGCGAGAATACACGTGCGTGTGTTTCGACAACAAATATCTCAGACTGAAATGGAACAAAAGAAGAGGGGCGGCAGCAGCAGTGAAGGTCACCAACTTAATTGGCGGAGGATCCAACTGTGCGGAGATGGTTGTGATTGTCAGCAAATCACACACAGATCCTTGGGTTGTGAAAATGAAACTAGTGTGTCAGAAGCTTTCAGTACCTTTCTTTCCTTTCTTAAGCGAATGGTGGCGGATGCTGGGACAGCAGGATTGCTCATGAGCAGGCCCGCTCTCTTGGCATCAGCAAGAGCATGGGCTGAGGCACCCAGGGGAAGGTGGCAGCGAATGGCCCCATGCCGGGCTTTCCCGGGTGCCGGCTGGCCCAAGGCGGCCCAAGCCACTGCTCGGCGGAAGCCCCACGCTGGCCGCTGCCGCGAGGACGGGCCCGCCTCTCCCTCTCGGTGCCTCTGTCACGCCCAGCAGAGGGACCTCAGTGGCCTCCTCCTGAGGCTGGCCCCAACCCCCTCTGCTTGCCCGTGGGATCACCCAGCCATCTCAGCTGCGGGCAGGGGCACATGGGGTGTCTCCCCCGGGAGGAGGCCCAGCCAAGCACTCGGTTCCTGCCCTCCGTTGACGTGGTCCTCAAGGGCATCGCACCAGCTGGGGGCAGCTAAGCAGACCAGCGTCGGCACCACCCAACCCACAGCCCTGCCCCTTGGGCAGAGACCAAGGCGAAGGGGCGTCTTTCCTCACACCAGCCAGCACAACGCCCCGAGAGGCTGGTGCTGGGCCCTCCGTGCCCCCTCCTTGCTCAGGCAGCGGGCCAGCAGAAGACGCCCAGGGCCCCTTTCCCTCCTCTCCTGAGCAGCGACGGGGAAAATGGGCCGTCTTCCTGAAAAGACAGTTGGAGTAGTCCCCCTTCTCTGGCCACGCGGCTCGATAGCCCCCTGGGGTGAGCGGAGAGTCATGGGACGCCCAGGTTTGCACAGCTCTCTAGGCCATGGGCCACTGGAACGGCTGTGGGCGACCCCAGGAAACTCAGTCAGGCACAGTCGATGCCAGGGCACCACGCAAGAGGACTGCTCAGAACCCCCCCAGCGTGGAGGAGTGTGGACGGCTGGTGGAGGGGTGGAGAAGTATGTGGGAGGGGGGTGGGCAGGGCTTCCTCTGTACTCCCCTCCCTCTGCAGAAGACACAGCAGAGACACCTTCCGGGCACCCCAGTCTTTTGCCTCTGCTCACGGGAAGGCCTGGGGCAGAGATATATCACATCACTGGTGCCGGAGGCCAGACTAGATGGCCCGGGAGGCCCCTTCTGACTCGCTCTGTTTCTGTCACTGGAGAACGTCACTCTCCCCCTTCCCTACGCTTGCCCTGAAGCGCAGCCAGTGCAGAAAGAAGTGAACCTGTGCCACACGTGGGAACCTGGGGGTTCTGGCCTATGGCTCCCAGCAGCTCTAGCCAGTTTGTGCCAGAGGTAAAGAGGACAGGAGTTGTCGGTCAAAACATCCGGAGGGCCACAAGTTGTCCAGCCCTGTTCTAGGGCACAGACAAGTTCTCTGGCGCAAGCCGAACTTTCTCTGGTGCAAGCGACCCTATTTCAACATCCAAAATCTTCCACTGGGACTGGCACACTGCAGCAGCAAGAGTTTCCACAAAGCCCATCGGCCTGAGCTAAGTCAATGGGCTCCCAGCAGTGGCTTCAATGGAAGCATTCCGGGTGCGCGGGCTCCTCCATCAGCTAAAGCCTCAGGCGGGATTATGGCCCATTTATGCACTTCTACAACGCCAGCTTCGCTCACACGTGGGAAGGCTGCCCAGATATAAATTACAGCACCATTAGCAGGTGCCACTCTAATTTATAACCCATCCCCTCCCCTTGCCAAGGCATGGAGCCTGCCACATACCAAAGGGGATGGCGCTCTCGGAGCACCTGAACTCGTCAAAGACGGCAAAACGGGGGACCTGCCTCGGCCCACAGGCAGCTTACCAGGATTGCAGAGAAGCTGAGACAAGAAACCAAGATACCCAAGGAGAGTGGGAAGGGAGGGCCGCAAACCAGAGCCATGGCGCTCCAAGGCTTGGCTGGAATTAGACCCCTTCCTCGCCCTGTTGACCAGATCGTGTTTCTGTCAACACTACTAACTCAAAAAAAACGAAGTGCGTCACCGACGTTCCTTTGGCCCACTCGGCCCAAGAAGCCAAGCTGCCAAGCGGAGTGGGCGTCACATTTCAGCCATGGCTGGATCCAAGGCCGGCCGGTGCCCCAGCCTCTTGCTCAGAGATCGGGTGACAGCAGGCATTTCATTATGAGGAGATGGTGGGGCACCCAGAGCCGGAGCGACACATTCGCTGGGGGACCATGTGGGGAATCCCACCCCCCCAGGGAAGAGTAAGGTTTCCAAGCAATGTTGGGGAGGGGAGGGGAGGGGAGGGGAGGGAGGTCAACCCACCCCTGTGGGGCAGAAGCAATGGCCCTACCATTGCAGAGCATGTCAGAGGCCACGGGGTCAACCTCTAGGACTGAGGGTATGGACTGCATTTTGCGGGTAGAACCCCAGTCACCCACTTTGGGCTGGGCAGGAGCACACCGAAGAGGTGATAGCCTTTTGTCACCTCGCACCGAGCAGCAGTAAGGTCAACTTACAAAGCAGGCTGCATCAAACGCAACGCTGCCAAGAACTCGCACCAGGGAGCTTCGGGGAAGCCAAAATAGCTCAGCATTCTACCCTCCCCATCCGCAACCACCCCGTTTCCAGAGTTGTTGTAAGGATAACACAATGTTGTCTTTTTGGACACTTTAAGTGACCTTGAAGAAGGAATATTCTTACTAGAACCAGTGAGTTAATCCCATAAGGGAGAGAGAAGCGCACTTGGCCATAAGAGCAAGCAAAGGCTTGTGCACCGCAACCGGAAGACCTGCTCTAGCCGTGCCCGGTGACAGCCACCCAAAAAATGCAGGTAGCTGAGAAAGCACATGCTCTTCAATGCCTACATAGTAATGCCCAGACTATAGGAGACAAACAGCCTGAACTTGAACTTCTCACTCAGGAGGGGGAATACAACCTGAGAGGTATAACTGGAACTTGGTGGGATGACTCCCATGACGATCAACAACGGAAGGATGTAACTTGTTCAAGAAGAACAGAGAAGGAAGCGGAGTCACGCCATGTTAAAGATACATGGTTCTGCACAGCAATACAGGATAAGCTTAGTCGCCCATCAAGAGCATCTAGATGAATATAAACGGAGCAAGGAATAAAAGGAGCACAGTGATGGGAGTCTATTACCTGTTAGAGCTGCACAACAATGGGACCCAAGACTAGGGAGGGGGTGGCGTTCAAGAGACGGCTGGCCAGCCTGGAGTCCTGCTCCGAGGTCACTTGCAACTCTCCTCTTCTAGGATTCTCTTAAATAGTCATGAACTGCTTCTTTTAGCCCAGTCTTTCCAAACAAGCATTCCAGATGTTTCTGGACTACAAGGTTCACCAGCATCTTCCAACAGGACAACAGTCTGGATAATGGGAATTGTTGTTTAACTATCTGGGGGACACCAGGTTGGTGAATGCTACCCTAGGTCATGGCGAAATTACCTGGTGGCTCCTCCCTCCACATCAGTCTCAGCCGTCAAGGACTAGCTCATCCACCACCACTGGCCATCTCCCTCCAAAACACCAGCCATGACAGAAGCAGCCAGGCCAGAGAGGTGGGTTGACAGAGAAGGGGAAGCCCAGAGCACATATTCACTGCCCCACCACGACGCAAGCATCCCCTTCCATCTGCCCCGTTACTCTGAAGACATGAGTATCTGCTGCAAAGGCCGCTTCATATTCCTTCATCTAAAGAAGGAGACCTGCCCCGCTAAAGCCCACCCAAAGAAAATGCAGTGTTTGGAGTCACTGCAGTTTGTCCTCCCAAACAAGTCTGCAAAAGCAACCCGCCAGCCCACACACGCCAGGGCGGGCGCTTGGCAGCACACAAAAGCCCCACCAAGGCCCAGCCCTCCTCCCGTATGGAAGCACTTCTTTGGAGGCAGCCTCATACCAGGCCAGATCTTGCTCCACCCAGCCCAGTGTTGCCAACACTGACTGGCAGTTGTTAACTGGGAGTTCAGGAAGGGGACTCTCCCAGTCCTTCCTGGACATGGCAGGGAACACACCTGGAAGGTTCTGCACGCAGAGCATATACCCTGCCGCTGAATTTTGCTCTTTCCCTCCAAGGCTGCCTGGAGGAGAATTTGACTTGGCTTGGGTTGGCAGGCATGTGCTTCTCTAGCAGCCTGAACAGGAGAGCAGCCCGCTGGACTAGATCAGATGCCCCTGGAAAATCAGTCAGGGTATTAACCCGGCTGCTTTTTCCTCAGCACCCCGGATTCCGATGCTCTTGCAAAGCCCTGCCTGCCACCCCACGTTGGAGGACGACATGCTCCAGGGCACCCAGCCCCTTAGTGAGGTTCAGATACCAGCGGTCCCTGGCACCACGGTCTGAAGGCGCTAGCGGCCGCACTCGGCCTCTCCTGCACTTACATGCACTCAGTCCCCACAGCAGCTGTGCTCAGCAGGGTGAGCACAATCCCCACCAGTAAACAGAGGCTACGCAACCGCACTGCAGGCCGAATTACAGCTAAGGGCAGAAGTCACCCCCCTCTGCCCCATCCTCCGCGCCAGCGTGGCACTTCTGTTTACTTCCCCGGCTCTTCTACTCCACTGGGTGATTGTGCAACTCCGAAGGACACGAACAGGTACTTTAAAAACACGTGTATTAAGCCCCTCGGTGTGTACAAATACTGATATCGTTATATTGCGGTATGAGGTCTATAGATTTTTGGGTCATTTCAAATACAGGCAGAACTGCAACAGCTGTGTCCTCATTTTTTTTTTCTTTTCACTGTCATTGGCAGGAAAAATAAGTTGAAAACAGATCCCATCACCCGTTGCGAAAGGACAGCCGTGTTACTTGGGCGTAGAAGCAGACGATACGTTTAACATACAGATGCAGAAACAGAAAATATGTCCAGCACCCCCAAGTCTCCCACATCGCATTGCTGTTGGATGCCTCTCCGCTGGGCAAAGCTCCTCCCAGTGCAAAGCCACGGAGCCCCAACATGAACATCTGGGCAGCCCAGCATCGGAAGGCCCATGTGCCAGCCTGCAGCTGCCAGCCCAGAAGTCTTGCTGGGCTGCAATACGATCCCCAACTAGTTCTGCTTATCCATCGTGCTTGATGTTGCAACAGACCCATCTGTGGAACGGGGGCAGTCAAATGAGAGAAATAAAAGCAGTGCCAGGACTCCCCAGGCCTTTGAGCCCCTTCTCCCCTGCCACTGTTAAATATCTGTGTCTCCCTTCCCAGCAGCCCAAAAATAAATGCCCCTGACACGGCATGCCCTGTAATCCAGACCCCACAAGCTCTGGGAGACATCAAGATGGGACAGGCTAAAAATAGGTGTTAAAGGGACAGCAGAGGATTTGGGGCCAATGTGTCGAACTTGGTGCAAGGCAGAATCAGAGGCCTCCAAGAGTCCCGCTCGCAACGCAGGGGCAGCTTTTACCTAGTCGCCTGCGTACACTTGGTGCCGGACATGGGGGCAGGGGAGCTGCAGCCAGATTCACTGCCGCAACAAAATGCATCTCTGCACAAACCGTGTTGAAAACGCCGGCTAGGAATCGTGAATCATAACATTCATCCCAGTTGTGCGCCTTGTCCCCATCCTCTCCTCCTGGATGAACAGAGCAGCCATTCTAATGACCGAAAGCCTTCCGTCTGCAGCCGTTCTCCTCCCGGTGCTGGAACCGCCAGGAGAGCAGCCCAGGGCTCCCAAACACATTGGCAAGTGGCCTGTACCCTCCATGAACACAAATCATTCTCTAAGGCATCTTGAGCATGGCCGAAATTGAAGTCATGCTTGCCGCGATGGATCCTGGGGTTGCTTTGTGGAGGAAACTTCATGCTATCCATAAAAGTGGAAATGTTTAAGATGGAAACCCTGGAGTGAGGGAGGGCGTATAGCCTGGTTGTGATCTCACAACAAGCCAAGGAGTTTTTCAAATACTGGATGGTTGAATGAGTTTGGAGAAGCGAAGATCAGATGGAGGGTGTCTAACAGAGAGACTATCAGGTAAAATACTGCCGTATTGCTTGTTTCATGAAAGATGTGACTATTTCGCAAGCTGTTCTATATTTCCGCATTCACCCAAATGCTGGCTTTGCTGCACAGAAGACACAAGTGTCTGGATAGTCATCTGAACAGGACGATGCGACTAAGTGTCCTGCAGTATCGGGGGGTTGGACCTGATGGCCTTCTGGCCACCTCCAGCTCTACTCTTCTAGGATCCCATGACCACATGCACTGCTTTCTAGTGTGTAAGGCGCCACCTCTCAATTTTAAAAGGGCAAAAATTGCAGTGAGCCAGAAGGCCACCGTGCACTGGAACACCCTCTATACTCTGCCTGCCTGCACAAGGAGAAGGTCACACGGAGGTGGGTAGAGGCCTGTTCTCCCCTGCAGAGGAAGACAGGATGCACTCCAACAGAGCCAAGCTCAGGGAACCCAGGCTCCATTTGGATGCCAGGAAGCGCTTCCTGACAGTCAGGACCCCCAGGGTATGGAATGGGTTTCCACTGGAGGTGGTTGAGGCCCCATCGGTGAGGGTGTTCAAGGATAGGCTGGACGTCCACATGGTGGGCATGTCGTGAGCGGAGCGGGCTGGAGCCGGGGGTCAGACTAGATGGCCCGGGAGACCCCTTCTGACTCCTCTGTTTCTGTGTTTCTAAGGTGAAAGTCACTTTCTTCCCCCAGGCTGACACAAGAAAAAGGGAGTACAGATACTGTCGCTTCAAAGCTAAGCGACGCAGGGATACTAACCGGATTTGCAGTGCGGAGTGGTCCTGTCTGCTGTCCAGCAAGCCAGGCCCTCCATTTCTTGCCTCGCTTGCACCCTACCAGATGACGCTCCAGGGCCTGTGAGCACACAAAGCACTCTCTGGGCTGTTTTCAGATTTCCCTTGGCCCCACTGCCTCGTGGCGTTTCCTCCAAAGGTTTTTTTTACACTCATGCAAAAGCTGACATGCCTCCTCCCCAAGATTGCAACTGCTTCCCTCTTCTGCATAAACAGCATCATTTCAGCTCCATAAGCAATGATGTTCCTTGAGCATCAGAAACAGGAGGGATTGTTTGAATGAGGAGGGCAAAATCTTTTTTGGCTAGAGGCCATAATTTCCTGTTGAAGACAGGCACAGGGAAGGCCAGGTTCCAGCATATTTTAGCTGAGTATTCTTTCTTGCCATGACTGCACTGGAAGAGAGGCACTTCAACTTTAGTATGGGGAGAAAATCCTAAACAAAACTGGAAAATCAAAGCACTGGCTGGAGGGGTGAGGGGAAGGGGATGCAACCTTTCGGTGATTCTGGGATGGCCAGATTTCCATCCCATCAATTTAAACAGTGAATGCTGAACAGCAAATAACATTCATCTTCTGGGTCTAAGCCCAAATAATACCATTTTGCTATATACGCAAAAGAAGTGGAACTGCCACACTGAAGGCTTTCTGTGCACTCTTCTTGTGGGGGCTCCAGTCTGGCCATAGGTCCATGTGGATCCACTGTGGACATGCCGTCTGATGAACCCGGTGAGCAGGCAAGCTGCCGGGGGAGAAGGCACTCTCTCTCGAGCATCCAGGCCCAAATTGTTTGGGACTTCATACACTGGTTTTAAAATCTTAAGCCTGGCTGGGTGGTGGGGATGCTGCTCCCACAGCAAAGGCGTCACATGCTGGAAAAAGGTGGCTTCCAACAACAGCCAAGCTGTGGCATTTGACAACTTCTGGACTAGCCTTACGGGCAGCCGCAGACACAGTAGCAATCCTATCTTGAGGATACCTTGGACTAGTTTCTTATCTCTACCTCCCCATGTTGCAGAAAAGGCAGAATATGGGCAAGACCACCATGTTATCTTTACCCCACACATTTTACATGACAAGCTAACACTATCTGCAAGACAAAACTGGAACCTGAGGCACTGCTATGAAAGGAATTTTGCCCGAGATGCTGGCTAAGTAATCCAAAAACAATCTTTCACCTAACGCAGGAACATTCCAACCCTCACAGAGGTATCTTCCACCACAGAAGGAATATCTTAACGCAGGCTATACCTGTCACCCAAGACTTGAACAAGTCAGCTCTACTCTCACTGGCCTGGGAATAAGTCGCATTGAACTCATAGGATTCAACTCATAGGAAGTAAATATTAACAGGATTACAGAGACTGCCATGCAAGCCTCATCAAACAGAATGAAAGTTGCTTCTAAGTTTTTTTTAAAGATTAGGTTGCACAGCCTAGTTCTTACCCAGGGTTCTGGGGATTTAATCTTCACCTGTGCGCGCCCACCTTTATGAATGAATGCGCTTCCATACAGAAAAGCTCCCTGCATGCAGAAAGCAGGACTGCAAGACAGTCGGGCTAGATCTCTTTCTCGCAGACGGAATTCACTAGGCGGAGAGAGACATTCATTTATGGGAACATCAATCCGTAGGTAAAGGTGGCCCCATGAAGCAGTAAGAAGACACACCCCGACCAACTTCCACGAGGACAACACCGCATCGCTTCGGCGCGTCTAATGGTCAAGTTCTTCGCTTCGCTTGGTTTGGGGACGGACCGGGAGCGAACAGCGTGCGGTCTGCGTTAGCTCTGCACTCGCCAGGCGGCTTTGAAACCCGCGGGCTGCACCTCGGCCCTTCCTTCTCACGGATGCCCCCAAGTCTCCTCTGCGGGAAAATCTATTTATTTAAGTGCATCCATCCCGCCCCTCACCCTGTCGCAGGGCGGCCACGCCGCGAAACGAACGAACATCAACATGGCGCAGCATCGCTCAGCAAATGCAACTCGCCGCTAAAGACATCAGTTGACACGGCAAACAACGGGCAAATAAAAAGAGCCGGGCCGGGGCAGACGCTTCCCGAGCCCGGCATGTCGAGAGGAAACCCCGCGAGCTCGGCCGCGGCATCGACCGAGCGCGGCTGCCCGGCGAGGGGCCTCCGGCCTGCCCTTACCGCCTCGGCGCCCAGCAGAGCCGTCCCCGGACGGGTCAGTGGAGGAGAGAACGGAGGCGCCCCGGGGCCGCAAGCCACCCGCCCGGCTCAGCTCGGCTCGGCTCCGCTCCCGAGCGCTGCCCGCCGCCGCCGTTGAGGGATTTCAAATTTCTGCCCCGCTTCCAAACGGGCCAATCACGGCCGGCCGGCGGGCGCCTCGAGCGTGCCGATTGGGCCGCGAGCGGGACGGAAGCGCGTGAGGCGGGCGGGGAACAGGCCCCTCTGGGCCGGGTGTGGAGCCCGCCTCCGAGGGCTGTTCCTTCGCGGAGGCCTCTGGGAGGCGTAGTTGGGCGACGGAAGACTGGGCGGGAGGCGGGGCTGGGAGGAACGCTCGGAGGAAACGACGAGTCCCAGAGAGCGCGGCGGCGGCGGCGGCGGCGGGGGCGGGGGCGGGGGCGGGGGGCGGGGCAAAGGCGCCCGCAAGAGCCGCCCTCCAGACGGGCTGCGGGACCCATCGCGAGGGGGGAGGGCGGGGCGACGGGAGCGGAGAAGGGGCCGAGGGCGAGTCCGCAAGCGCTTCGGGCGGATTCTGTGGTCCTGAAGCTGCCGAGCGGCCGGGGCCGCGCAGGGGCTGACATTCGGGTTGCACTGCGGAAAAAGGAGGCTCTTAATTTGCCAGCCCCTGAAACTCACTTGCCACGTTGTGTTGGAGTGCGACCCCCATCATTCCCAGCCAGCATAGCAGAAGATCCTCCAGAATTCTGGAAGGCAGCAGCTCGAGGAAGGAACACCGCATGGATCAACTCCGTGGAAGAAGCCCCAGCCTTGAATTTACGAGAGGGCTGTCATCATAGGCTTGCATATATTTGTGCGGATCTTATTTATTTATTTAGCGTAGGATGAGGCCACGACGAGAGAAAACGCGAATATATAACACACAATCCGCACAAATATATGCAAAACTTCTGCAGGGGTACAGGAATTGCCTCATAATTGGATAGTTCCGCTAACCAGGCGATCGCCTCTGGTGTTGCTTTGTGCAGATCTTCTAAGGAGCCAGGAAACACGCATCTTGGGCATTCTTACAAAATACGTTTGATGGTTTGCACTGCGGCACCACAGTCACAACAAGGAGAATCTTTCCATCCCCACTGATACGGGCAGAGGCGTTCCTTCTGGTATTACATCTAATTCTATTCAATTTTGTTCAGAACGAGCGAAGCAGGTTATAGCCAGGGAGTTTGGAAGAGGGATCACAGGTGTCCAAGCCACAGTAGGCCTAAAGCATAGTCCCACGGAAACTAACTGGTGGGCTATATGGATGCAGTCCTAGGCACACTTACTTAGAAAGAGTGGGGATAAAGCAGAAAGTAGAAAGCAGGGTGTGTGAGACAGATGAAGCAGAATAAATGGTAATTTCTCCAACCGGAGGGATGTAACCAGTGGGGTCTCTCAGGGTTCTGTTTTAGGATCAATGCTTATCAACCTATCCATCACTTATTTGGAGTTCGGAGTAAGCAGTGGGCAGGTTTGCTGAGGCTACTACATTATTTAGGAATTGTGAGAAGCTCCAAAGGATCTCTCCAGGATGGGAGAGAGGGCATGAAAATCATGGATCCCTAGAATAGTAGAGTTGGAAGGGACCAACGGGTCTGCACCCCTGCTCAGTACATGACTCCCAAGTCTCAGGTGGCTGCCCAGTTGCAAATACAATGGCAAACTCAGTTTAATATAAGCAGGTGTAAAGTAATGCACATCCCTGCAAATAATCCCAACTTCAGGTATAGGCTGATGGGATCTGAGCTGGCAGTGACAGATCAAGAAAGGGATCTGGGGGTTGTGGCGGACACTTGATTGACATTTTGACCCAGTGTGTGGCAGCTGTGAAAAGGATAAACTCCATGTTGTGAGGTGCTGTCAAGTTATCTCCAACTTACGGTGACCCCCTGAGCCTTCCAACTGTTTATCCTTGACAGTCCTGCTCAGCTCTTCCAAATGCAAGGCTGTGGTTTCCTTGATGGGGTCCATCCATCTTGCATTTGGTCCTCCTCTTCTTTTGCCTTTGACTTGCCCTGGCAGGCTGGTCTTCTCCAGAGAGTTGTACTTTCTCGTGAGGGGCCCATATCAGGACAATCTCAGCTTTGTCATTTTTGCCTCTAGGGAAAACTCTGCCTTGATTTATTCAAGGGCCCCCTTACAGTCGTTGCCTTTCTGTTGGTCCAGGGCACCCACCAAGCTCGATTCCAGCACCGTGTTTCAATGCCTCTATAGTCTTCCTGTCAACTTTCCTTACTGTTCAGCTTTCACAACCAAATGTGGTCCTGGCTTGGTCTCCAGTGAAACATCCTTAGCATTTGATTATCTTTTCTAGTTCTTTCATCACTGTCCTTTCCAGTCTTCTTCAAATGTCTTTGCTGCAGTCTTCGTTTGAATGAATGACTGAGCTGAGGAATGCAAAATCTTTCACAATTCCAGTTTCTCCGTCGTTAACAGGAATGTTCTGTAATTCTTCTGTAGCCATGATTTTTCTTTCCGTAATGTTTGGCTGCAGTCCCATTTTTGCATTTTCCTCTTTCACTTTCACCAGGAGTCATTTTAATTCATTGCTGATTCTGCCACAAATATGGTATTACCTGCATATCTTACATTCCTGATGCGTCTTCCGCCAACTTTCACTCCTTCTTCTGATTCCAGTACAGCTTTCCTTATATGTTCTGCATATCGATCGAACAGATAAAAAGATAATCTACACCCTACAACCATTCCGTTTCTCCATATTTTTAGTAACAGTAGTTTCTTGTCCACAATGCACCAGGACAATCAAGTGCTGGGGCAGCCCCTTTCCTCCTTCCCATGGTCCACACAGTCAAGGGATTTGCTGTGGTTTATAAAGCATGGAGTGATCTTTGCAAATTCTTTGCTGTGCTCCACTAGCCTCCATATGTTTGCGACATGATCTATAGCGGCTCTTCTTTTCTGGGACAGATAAAACTACCAAGGTCGTACTCCCTATATATAATCTTTGGTGTGCAGTGCTTATATTTGATGTACAGTTTGGGTTGCCTTACCTGAAAAAGGACATTATTGAGTTGGAAAAAGGGCAAAGAAGGGCAATGAAGATGATCAAGAGGGTGGAGCAATTCCCCCGTAAGGAACAAGTTCAACAACTGGCGTAGTTTAGCCAGGAGAGGAGGCAAGGAAAGGGAGACATGATAGAGTTTAAAATTGGGCGCGGTGGGGAGAAGGTGGAGGGGGAGACATTTTTCTCCCATTACGCTCACACCCAGCATCATCCCATGAAGCTGTTTGGGGTAAGGTTTAGGACAAATAAAAGGAAGGACTTCTTCACACAGTGCATAGTTAAACTGTGGGATTTGCTGCCATGGGAAGAGGTGATGACTACCCGTCTGGAGGGCTTTAAACGGGGATTGGGCAGATTCATGGGGCGGGGGGAGGCTCTCCGTGGCTACTGCCTTGCTGGCTATGCATTCCCTGCTTCTGCAGAGGTGGTCTGCCTCCATTCCCCCATTGCTGAGGAGTTGGGCAGGAGGAGGCCTTGCACCCGTCCTGCTTGGGGGATCCAGCGGGCAGCTGTTTTGCCACCGTGTGTACAGAGTGCAGGACTGGATGGTTCTTGGCTGTTCTTACGGAAGTAACTCCCACTGAATTCAATGTGTGTGGTTGTTCAGTAGTCACTGGTAAGATTGGGAAATGTCTTTGCCTCCCAGCTGTCCTGTTTGTTAGTTTACCCTACCGAGAAGCTTATTCTACCTCCAGTATCTATAGCGAATAGCTTTTGCTGCTGGTTGCTTACAATTTTCTGCCTCCATCTTTTCTATGCTCCAGCACAGTCTATTTACCTTTTGCTAAATTTTGAGCAAGAAAAACATAAAGCTTCTAATATCGCAAACGTAGATTATTTTATTTATGTATTTATTTCCTTTCTATCCTGCCCAAGAGCCCAAGGGCTCTCTGGGCGGTTAACGAATTTTTAGCATATGTCTCGCTGTTTCTCCGTCGGGAAACTTAAGGCGCCCTGATGCAAATGAACGGGGAAACTTTTTTGATGTCATTCGTTATATACTGCCTTTTGGCGACGTTGCGCTGGAAAGCGCCTTTATTCCGACGGTGATTCATCAGCATCACAGCCATAATTAAGAATTGCCGTATAATTAAGACGCTTTTTCCCCATGTGTTGCCGGCATTCAACCAGGAGAGGGCGCCAACGCCCTTCCCTTCGTTTGCGGGCGTCGCATTGCGCAAGCGCCCTCCTTCTGTAGGCGAGCGTCTCCTCCCTGGCCACTTTACATTTTTTCGCATGCGCACTCCGCGCTATCAACGCAAACCTCGCTGCCTTGGAGCCGCGCGTGCGCACAGCAGGCTCGAACGGCCGCTCACGCATGCGCAGTTCCCTTCCCCCGGCCGGTGAAGGAGCAAGGCAGCACCGGCGGAGAGACCGCAGCCTAACGGGCGCGGGGAAGGCGCTGCCATCGCCGCCGAAACGACCGAACCTTTTCGGCGCCTTCTCCTTCACAGTTCCTGTCTGCCGCTCCCTTCCCCTGAGTCAGCCGGTGACCGGGGCCGGGGAGGAGAAGCGGGCAGGGGCGGGGCTTTTTCGCCAGGTTCCGAGGTAAGGGCGGGGCCGGTCGGAATTGGCAGGAGGGACGGCCAATGGGAAGGCCTCCACTTTGGGCACGCTCTTGGCCTCGCTGTGATTGGTTCAGCTTGGGGGCGGGGCCATACTTTATGCTGGCATTTGGGGGTTGAATGGGAGGAAATGAATGGAGGAAAGGAAGGGGCGGCGACGGTGGGGGTGGGCCAGCGTGGAAGCGGCGCCCTGGGGAGAAGCACGCCGGGCGGGCGGGGGAGGGGCGGGCGGCCGGCCCTGCAGCGCCTGGCCCCGGATGCGCTTGGCGGCCAGCGGGCACAGTGGTGAGAGCGCGGGCCGGGGCTGGGAGCCTGGCCGTGGTGCGCGCCGGGTGGCCTGAGGCCCGGCCCTGGCCCTCAGCCTCGCGCATCTCGCCCGGGCGCGGTGCCCATTCGGGGTTCAGCAGCGCTTAAAGGGCCCGGCGTCTAATTGTGCGTTCGGAGTGGTGCCAGCCGGCATGCGCCGCCTCTTACGGCTGAGCCCACCCCCCTCTGCAAACCAGGCCACTCCGTCAAAACGATGGGCCCATGTTGCCCGGGAAGGGGATGCTCTGGGATCCGTAAGTGCCTGTCGAATGCGGCCGTGAAGAAATGGCGCATTAATCTGCGTGCAAAGAGAGCACTGGCAGAGTTGTGCACTGGGGGGCCATGATCAAGGCCTCCTCCCGCCCTGGCTGGTGGATTTAACCCGTGTATTCTGGCCTGCCTCCCTAATTCCACCCCATTTGCACGATGCCTGACCCCTCCAGCCTTTTTGGATGACAGCTCACACCATTCTTCACCATGCTGGCTGGGGCTGATGGAAATTGTATTCCAGAGTATCTAGAGATACTGCAGGTCTGCCACAGCTAGTAGAACGGACCTTTCTGTCTTGAAAAGCTCTCCATGCCATATCCCTAAAGTATTCTTAAATGACATCACATGGCGTGTTGGGTGGGTGGGTGGGTGGGGAGAGCAGATGGCAGTGAGCTGTGCTGTAGCTGAAGAACAAACAGTGGAAGGACATGGTGGACATAAAGATACGTGGGTTGGAGAGTGGAAGGGCTAGCGGGAGTAGGGGCACTCCTCTGCCCTGTCTGAAGGGAAGTGTAACGGGTAGAGAGGCATTCCGTTTGCCTGAGCCCAGCAGGGTCCATCGTTCCGACAAACATCGGATGAGCCCGGTGATTTGGCCAAAGTTTCGCCTTGTCCAGCATCCTGGTTACCGCAGTGGTCTACCAGAGGCCTCCAGGACACTGCTGTGCTTGAATTATTCCAGCGATTATTCAGGCATCATTATTATTATAACATTTCTATGCCGCCCCTTGCCGAAGCCTCGGGGCGGCTTACAACACAATATGCACCTCATGTTTGCATATTACAATGTGTGTGTTTGAATACCTATCTTCTTCTTATTGCAATTCCTTAATTCCTTGCTTAGTAACCGGCTTCTAATGATCTTTTAAAAAAATACACCCATCAACGTTTTCATATTTTATCTTGCCATGAACATGTTGTAACAAACAGGGTACGTTGAGATTTAAAAAGCAAAGGAAGACTGCAGGCACACCTCTGTAAACATACTCGCTGGCAGATGAGAGACAAGCATGGTGCAAGGGGGGAGAAAATGGTGCCCCTGCTTTTCCACACCCCACTTCATCAGGCCTTTTCTTGACATTCTGATGAACTTTGGTGGCGCAGAAGTTATCTTACGGTTTCCTGAGCAGGCTCCAGGACTTCAGCACGGCACCAGGGAGGGGCCCCTGCCTCTTCCTGGGGTGGGCCAGGGTCAGTGGGGAGCGCCAGTTTTATTTGGCTGCAGAGAGGGCCAAAATGACCGACTGCACAGGTCAAACATTAGCTCTGCTGTTGCCAGTAGAGCCCGTCTCTGAGGCCAGGCAGCGCTGGCTACGTGAGCTGAAGCTTCTGCTTGGATTATCTTGAGGCAGTCTCTCTCTCCCATCCAGATCTACTAGATAGGATGGTTTTTGGGAAAGGATAAGCATAGCCCCACGAGCTGGGAAAGATACAGCGAAAGGACATAAAAATGATCAAGGGGCTTGACCAAGCTTCAGCAGCCTTAGAAAAAAGCCAAGTCGGGGGAGGCATCATAGAGGTGTTTAAAATAATGCATCGTGCGGAGAAAGGGGAGAGGGAGAAACGTCCCCCCTTTCCCATAACACTCTAACCTGGGGTCGCCCCAGGAAGCTGATGGGTGGGAGTTTGAGGGCAGATAGAAGGAAGTCCTCCTGCACTATGGAATTCGCTTTCACAAGAAGAGGTGATGGCTGCCAGGCTAGATGACTTTGAGCTGCCTCCTTCAGCAGTTGCCAGGGCGTGGGCAGGAGCAGGGCTTGCCCCCATCCTGCTGGAGGGATCCTGTGGGCGGCTGGGTCGCTGCTGTGGGTAAGGAGCGCTGCTCTGGGACAGCAAGGCTCCGTACCGTGCGGAGGGAGACCATGACACGCCTCACACCCCTCATTTTTTAATGCCGTGTGGAGAGATGTTTGATATTGGTTGTACCCTGTCATTTTCCTTTTGTGAGGAACGCAAGGCACCTTCCCCTCATTTTATCCTCACAACAACGGTGTGTAGCAGATTTGTTGACGGTCAAGAACTCTCACCTGGTCAGCTTCGTGGCCGGGTGGGAAGTGGATCCTGGTCTCCGAAGTGCCACACAGGCAGTCTGACCTCTGCACTCGCTGGCTCCGGGTGGTTGCTTCCATGGGAGAAAATGGCGCTGCTGCCCATTCAGTTTTCACTCCTGCAGCAGTGCCGTTTTGACCCCTGGGATGCCGAATTGATGGCGGATTGCTCACTACCCGTCCTGTTGCCAGAGGGCCCCGCTTTCCACCCGCCTTCTCAACTCGGTGCCTTGCCAATATTTTGAATTGTATCTCCCACCTTTCCTCATCACTGGCCATGCCGGCTGGGGATTCTGGGAGCTTAAATTCCCCACAACTGGAGGGCGCCAGGTTGCAGGGGCTGCCAAGCCACCCGGACCGACCGGCAGATCATTTGCAGAACTCCAGGCAGAAAATACACCGTGCAGCAGCCCAGCCATTTTAAGGGGCATTATCTAAACCTTGGGGTCCCGGAGGTGAGCGTGGACTGGCGTTCGGTGTCCTATTTCTCAAAGTAGCGGCTGCCACAATTCCCGCTTCTGTGCCGGAGCAGAAACGGCTCTCGGGGGGTGTTGCTGGGAGGCGTTTGGAAGGACGTGCTTCCCCGAAAAGTTCCTCGGGCGGATGCTGCAAGTTTCAGGCAGGCGGCGTCCCGTCCCTCCCGCCTCCCGAGGCGGGCGCAAAAGGAGGCCCCCGCGCGTCCGCAGCGCGGGGAGTCCGTGCTTGCGAGCGCGCGCCCGGGACCCTCCGCGCGACGGCGCAGCGCAGCGCAGCGCAGGGGAGCGCGCCGCGGTGCCAGGCGCTGGGCGCTTCCGCGGGCGGGGCGGGACCCCTCGGGGGGCGGGCGGTGCCCGGAGCCTATCTGCGCCGCCGCCCCGCCTCCTGGGCGCTCGCTCCGGCAGGGCGCGCTCTGCCGAGGCTCGCAGACCCGGGAGTCGGCGCCCTCTCCAGGGGGTAAGTGCGCGCAGCTCCCTCCCGGCATCCCGGCAGGGCAGAGCCCGGCCATTGTTACCCGGCGGCCTGGCGGGGCGGAAGGGGCGCTTCCGTGGCGCCGCGCGTGGCCGCTGCAAGCGCAGGGGGCGCGGGGAGAGGGCGGCCCACCCCGGGGGCGATCCCGCGCTCAGTCGGACCCCGCGGGGCGCGCGGCCGCCCGCCCGCCCGCCTGCCCTGCGCCTGGTCCCGCGCGGGGGCTGCGTGTGCGGGCCCAGCTTTCCCAGTTCTTGGAATCTCTCGCGCGTGACTCATGCCTGTTTGTCGGGCTGGCGGCGGCGGCGGCGGCGGCCCAGATGGCGGAGGTCCGCTCAGCCTCCGCGGTCTTTCCCTTGCCTGCTTATCGCCCACAGCAGCCAATAAATTCCCCGAGCAAATGCAGAACATACTTCGAGGCAGGAAACTCTCGCCTCTGACTTTGCCTCCGGAGAAAAAGTGGAACCCGCGCTGGCTTGCCAGGGCGGAATGGAAAGGCTGCGTATCAAAACGCCCCGGACCCCTCGTGGCCTTGAAATCTAAGTCAAGGTGATGTACCTGGGCACTTGGCCCGAGCACACCTGAAACCAGCCACTAGCCCGCCCTCGAAGTTGTTCTTTTTTAAAAATACTTTCCCTCATCGGTTTGCTCTCTGTTGCCATGCCAGGGTTCCCCTGACCCTCGGGAAAGGCGCGGCACCGGAGGCGGCAGCGTCGCCCACCCGGTACCTGAGCTATTGTTGAGCGACGCTTGTCCCTTTAAAGCAACCAGGAAGGGCTTTGATCCCGGGGAGGGGGAGATGCAGGGGCGTGAAGGAGGAGGCGCCTCCATGCCTCGCTGCTGCAGCAGATCCGCAGCACTCAATCAAGGTGGCAGAAGGAGTCCTCCTGGGTTTTCAGAGCCTCTGTTCTGACTGGCAGGCAGCACGATCGCTCCAGCCGGGGCTGGTTTTGCTCCCAGAGGCTGAGCTCAGATGTGGGGGGCACGGGGGGGTGGCGAGCATCGTGGCCCTGCTGCACAGGGCTTTGGGACAAAGGATCCCAGAGGAGGCACCTGAGCTGTGTGGAATAAACCCCGGTGGATCATGCAGTCTCGGTGCTGGCCAGACTAAGTTCAAGGATGGGCCATCGGGATGCTCCCGAATATTCGAGCTTCCTGCGGTGGTGAAATGCAGCTTCTGTCTCTGTGCCAGGAAGTGGTGGTGAAGGCTGGTCCTCTAACCGCCTTCTCTCCTTCTCTGTCCTCTTTCTCTCGCGAAGCTTCCCTGTTTGGCCTTTGGATGGTTGCCACGAGGATGGAGAGGAGCGGCATCCTGGCCCGGTAAACGCACAGGTCGGCTCGTGTTTTGGGCCATGGACTCTCTGAGACACCCTGAGGTGTAAAGATGTCGAGCAGAAACAGGGCGCTTGTGACAGACTTCATTTCCTACAAGCTGTCTCAGCGGGGCCACAGCTGGAATGAGATCGAAGGCGACGAGGGAAGCAGGACTGAGCTGGCCGACGAGATGGGGGGCGTCCTCAACGGGAGCCCCTCTTGGCACACCGGCAGCAGCCCGGTCGTCAATGGGGCGACGGGGCACCTGACCATCCTCGAAGACCTGGAAGACGGTCCCCGGGAGGATGTGAGGCAGACGCTCAGGGAGGCTGGCGACGAGTTCGAACTGCGGTACCGGCGGGCTTTCAGCGACCTCACCTCCCAGCTGCACATCACCCCCGGCACCGCGTACCAGAGCTTCGAGCAGGTGGTGAACGAACTCTTCCGCGACGGGGTGAACTGGGGGCGGATTGTGGCGTTTTTCTCCTTCGGAGGGGCCCTGTGCGTGGAGAGTGTCGACAAGGAGATGAGAGTGTTGGTGGGCCGGATTGCCAGCTGGATGGCTACTTACCTGACCGAGCACCTGGACCCCTGGATCCAAGAGAACGGCGGCTGGGTAAGCGTTTGGCAGCGGTGGGGGAAGGGCACCGCTCGATGTTGAGAGCGGCGCATGTGACCTCGCGCGAGCGGCGACACCTGGCGCAGTTTTGGGGGGGGGGCTGGTGTGACAGTGAAGCATCCGGCACAGCCGTTTTCTCCTGGGGGGCTTCAGCAGGGAAGGCGTTGCTATCGGTCTGGACCACTTGGGTTGCTTGTGCGTGTTTGCCCCTCTTGGCGCAGGGAAGGGGGAATATCTGTGCGTGCACCTCTGCTTCAAGACACCTCTGCTGTCAAGGTGCCTATGAAATGTTGGACTGCCAGACGCTGGGAGTAGGCCAACAGGAGTTGTGGCTGTGATCCATTTCATCTGTGGCCTCCAGCTCTCTGATGGAGGCTTGGCTAGACGTTCCTTGGGTTCTTCATGTCTAGTACAGGATGCACAGTACTAAGCTCTTTTCTCAGCTGAATGGTTGACCAGTGTCAGATGGAGCCGTGTCCTTTACTTCTGGTCACCTACAGGCCTGCCTGTGGATTTCATTCCTCAGGCAGGGCCGTGCTACCGGGTGCCTGCCGGATGTTCCAAGCTACGGTTCCTATCAGCCCCAGCCAGCACAGCCAATGGGCAGGGGCTTTGGGGTTTTTAGTCCAAGCATCTGGAGGGCACCCGTTTACCTACTCCTGCTGGAACGTTCCACACACAAGGACCACCGAGGGAAGCCTCTGGGGTCCTTTTCGTCCACTCTGTCTGTATGGTGACCTGATACAAAAGAATGGCGACTTAATCCGGTAAGCATCACACCCGCTTATGAACTTCTCTTTCCCCACCCGCAAGGCTGGGTCAGTGCACTGCTGGTCCGGGGTTGCAGCAGCTCCTGTGCAGAACCGGGAGCAGATGAAGAAGTGAAGCAAGAGGCTGATCTCTCATCCAGTTCACAATCCGCTGTAAGGGGGGTGAATTTCTGGGACCGAAGTATCCAGGGAAAGGCTCATGAGGCAACTGTAGTCTGGTTATTTACTAAATTTTTAAACTACCCAGTAACCTATGTTCTCTGGCCAGTATGCAAACTGAAAGCATGAAGAAGTAATAACACAATAAAACAAGTCAGATAAAAAGCTAAGATAAAGCAAACAGTGAGTAACGCATGATAAAATCAGAAGCGGAACCTGCAAGAAGGATGTAACCGTGCAAAGATCTGCAGGCACTAAAATCTCTGGGAAAGTGAGAATACCGTCATCCACTCCTCCAGAGAGCACACCTGCCAGGTGAGCCTCGCGGAGAAGGGGGATCCACCGGTGTGACGCCACCTTCGAAAAGGCCCTCTTTCCGGTAGGTCTCTCCTTGCCTCGTTTGGCTGGGGAAGAGCCCCTGAAGAGCACCGCTCACTGAATCTGCTGATTGCTGCGCTCGACCCTGCCTTTTTTCTCCTGTTGTCCCTAGCTGTGAGAGAGACGCCCTCCCGAGGCGCGTTTTGGTGCCTTGCTGATGTGCTGTGGAAAAGGGCAGGTCCTGGGACTGCCCAGGGCCTGGCAGGATGTGACTTCTGGGTGGGGCCCGGCGCTCGCCTTTGGCAACTCTGTGGTGTTCTTCATGCTGGACAGGAGGTCCCTTTGGCGTGCGGCAGCTGCAAGCCAGTGCCGGCACAATGGAGCGCTGCCCTACCTCCTAGAGAGTGCTTTGCGGGGAAACCGAGACCCGTATCTTGACATCCACCCCGGTAGGGACCAGGCGTTTTGCTAGCCACGGGCCCCGTCCGGCTGGAGCTGTCGTGGGCAGCGGGACCCGTGGCCAGCGTTCGGGGCAGGTTCAGCCCGTGCGCAGCTCCTGCTTTCCCCTTGCATTCTGCGAAAGTGGAGGCGTGCTCCCTCCTTGGAAAGCGTCGCCCCGTGCTTTCTTTGTGCCTAGCTGCTGAGAGCCCCCAGGGACCAGCCGCAGGTCCTTGGGCAAAGTGCCCCCCCCCCCATTATGGCTTTCTGCTTTCCTCCTCCAGGAACTGCAGTGCAGAGTGAGGGTTGGCCCAACTGTGGCTGCTACCCAAACCAGGGGGATCAGATTCCGTCCCGTGGAGTTTGGTTGAAAAGAGGGCCCTGGGCTTGCAAGCCCCCGGCTGCCCCTCAGTGTGCTTGAGGGGGTCTCGCCCCGGCTTGGTCCAGTGGACCCATCCCGCCGTCCCCTGGAAAACGCTTCCGGTGCCCCGTGCAGCTCGCTTTTGCTGAGCGGCCTTCTCAGCGCAGCGGCAGGGATGCGTGTGGATGGGGGCCCTCAGCCACTTGGGAGTGAATGCGGCACCCACATGCTACAGCAGAGGGGTCGCCAGGCCGGTGCTGAACCAGGGTCACGGGGTGAGAGGTGGGAGCGCTGGAAGGGGCCACTTTTCAGCTCAGGAATGCCTGGAATGCAGCTGGCCTGGGGCACAGCCTGGGGTGTGTCTGCCCAGACCGACCAGACTAGTTCCGCTTCCTTCCTAAGCCCATCTTGCCCACTGGCCCCGTCCCATTAGCACCTTCCTCTTCCCCTGCCCACAGGACGGACGGACGGACGGATGGACGCCCCCCAGCTTCTCAGATTAGTCCAGGATCCAATGGAGCTTTCCACATCCCTGTCGCGCTGGTGACGATTGGGTTGTATCCTGGAGACCAAGGCGATAATGTAATCTGATTTTGTAAACGAACTCCCCAGGGGGATTTAGATTAAATTGCTGATGGAAAGTCACTGGCCCTTGCTTGTCGGAAGGGTGGGAGCCCTCCCCGCCCCCACCCAGCGCGCACCAGACTCGGCCCTTTTTGTGTCTAAGCGCAAATGCATTGTTCGGGCAAATATTTGTGCAGCCACTGGGAGGGGGGCAGGTCTCGCTGGGGGGGGGGGTGGCACAGCCACTGTTGCTGCCGCTGAGATCTCGCCTGGCCTCCTCTGGGTTGGAGCATCTCCCTCCGCCTGGCCGATGTTAAAGGTCATGCTGGCCCTGGGTGGGTGGTGGAGACTTCGCGTGAAGGAAGCACAGCTAGGCAGTCTTATTTGTGTGTTTTGCTTTCGTCCTGCCTCTTTTTCCCTTCCGAGGAACTCGAGGTGGCTTACATAATCCTCTTCCTCCTGTCAGTCTTACCCTCGCAACAACAGCCCTGCGAGATAGGTTGGGTGTGCCTGGCCCAAAAGCACCCAGTGGGCTCCCAGGCTGCCTGAGTCCCAGTCCTGCACTTCTAACCAGGACCCCACACGGGCTCTCTGTGGTTCGTGGCATCCATGTGGACACATCTGCAAAGACCCTACAAGAGTCTCACGTTTCCTTATTTCTAAGACTTGATCCCATTCTTCCTCCAAGGATTCAGGTTGGCTCCCTTCCTACTTTTTAATCCTCTGAGCAGCCGCTGAGGTCAGGAAGGCCAAGCAAGTGCCGTCCAGTGTATTCGTGGCCAATCCTTCACCTCCTCAGTTTGTCCAGCAAGGTAACCCAGTGTTCCCTAATCCAGCACCTTCCACATCTGTTGGACTACAGTTCCCATCGCCCCGAACAGCCGATGGCCAGGCCAGCCGGGGAGTATGGAAGCTGCAGTCCAACATCTGGAATGGGTCCCTGCCCCGTTAGCGTGCGTCACGCAGATAGAGTGGGCCAGAGGTGGGGCAGTCGGGGAGACGGTCTTGCCCCTTCCCTGTCTCCCTCGACGCTCGTCAAATACAGGGCAAGGCTGACTGCTCCCTGCTGTCCGTGCATGGAGTGCAAATGTTCGTACAGGATCCTTGTAAAATAGGGAGGGATCTGTATTTATAAGGCATTTTGTAAATCATGTATAAGAATAAATAAATTAAATATGCAAAGAAGCATCACTGCGCATGCGTACGTAGGGGGACAAAAGGTATGTGCAGACAAACCATGTCCGTCTCCCCTTCCCTGCACGTGCCACGTTACCCCCAGTGGAGCCGTCCTCCCCCCCCCCGCCCAGTGGCTAGGCACACTTTCCAGCAGAGCCTGGCCTACAGCCATCCACCATATTTCTTTTCCACAAATGCCTTTTTAATTTTTAGAAAGCCCCTATAAACAGCCACAGCGGGGCGGGGACACTGGTGGATGCCAAAGGCGATGGCCACTCTCGGGCCGGGGTCCACAGGCGCCTGCTGGGAGGCTGCAGAGCCCGGGCGGCCCTGGAAAACGTGGCAGGGCAGCTCCGTGCAGGAAGCCACAGCCCCAGGCTCATGCCTGGAGGCAGCCACGGGCAAGCGGCACCTTCGCTCCCAGAGCCCTCCCACGGCGGGCCGGGGCCCTGCCGCCACTGCTCCACCCCCAGCCGGCGGGCTCGCGAGGCGGCTCCTCTTTTCCCCGTCCGCAGAGGCAGCCCTCTGCCAGCCTCCCGCCGGCGCTGCCCTCCTGCTCTGCCCAGCGTGGCCTTGTTAGCGCAGGATTAGTGCTCCCTGGGGGCCGGGGAGCAGCCTCGGCCAGCCTCTTTCAACGCTGCTGTTGTGGAGAAGGCGTTGCTGGCGAGAAGGACCCACAGAGAGGCCTGCAAGTTCTGGCAGGCCTGCCTGGCAGCGAGCAGGCTCCGTGTGTTCGTGCACATTCCCCAGCGTCGCTCAGCGGTTTATGTCTTGGGAGAGTGCTTGGGCAGCAGCACACTTCAGAGGGGCTGCCGCGATAAATCTGTGGCTTTATCCACCTCCGAGAGGTCAGAGCCAGGCTGTCCGTCTGCAGATAAGCAGAGGCACGTTTGGCGGTGAAGCAGGGTAGTTGGACGCCACGGGAAGGGGTCCCGGTCCTACTGCGGGCTTCCTGCTCAGCTCTCCTCCTAATCCGTTCATGGAGGGGGTCTCGCACCTTCTGAGGGACACGACTGCTTCCGTGCCCAAGGCCCTTGTCCGCAGGCAGCAGTGCCGGCTCGGGTCCCTCTCCTGCCTTGGGCGGGCAGCACAAATGAGCACAACCTCCCAGAAGGTGCGGATGGGAAGCAGCGGCCAGCTCTGGTGTTGCACGGCACAAGTGACCAGCTGTTCAGAAGCGCACAGCTGGAACCGAGGCCGGGCATCTGGGG